TCGGATGACAATATAAAGCAGTACAATAATAATATTAATATTGCTCCGAGGGCACAGCGGCTCCTTGATTGACGTTAATGGAGTAACATCAGTAAAAAACAAGAAAACACTGTAGAGGGAGATTGACACCCAGGTAGGAGGCACGTGCATCCACATGGCTCTAAAATATAGTAACGTATCTGCCCTTTTGACGACATTCTTACGTACTTAATTACTTTTTTTTTAGCCAAAAAATAAATATAATATTTTTATCATTCTTTATTTCGTTTTTTTATTTTATTTTACTTTTTCTTTTTGTCCCTTGCGGCTTTTTTTCATGTTCTCTATCGACTCTTCCCAGTGATTTTTCTTTTCTTTTCTTTTTATACATTATAATTGCAATGACTTAACATATATTATAATTGTTCATATTTTTGGTTAACAATATTATAACCAATATTTAATGTATTTTTTGAAATATATAAAAATCTATAATTTAAAATATTTTATTTTTATATTTAGTAACTTTGTTAAAATTTGAGTAAGAAAATCGAGGAATTTCCGTTGCTTATCTTTTGTAGACGAACTTGAAAAACTTAAGAAAATTATTTTTACAATAGAGTCAGTGGTATGTATATATCTGTATAAAATTAAAACAAAAGAAAAATATATGTAAGAAATTTAAAAAGGAAAAAAGAAAATGCATTATGCTAGTGAAATTTCCATTATTTAACAGCTGTTAATTGTTTTAATTGTGTTTAACTGATAGCTGTATGAGTAATTTTTTATAAAACACTAAAAATTAAATGTTAATATGATAATTAATACATTAGAACCCTACGGAACAAAACTTTTTTTATATTATTACAATGAATTAGTATTAATTGATTAAAAGTGTATGATGAGGGACAGTCTACAGTTTATAGATTATGGTATGGAAACACTTTATGAAAAGTTGTTTACCATTTTGACTCCGAGAGATATTGTTACTGTCGACAACCATTATAACAATTAAGAAACGCCGCTTAATCATTTATTATTATGGCGAATGCACCAAACGCTACAGTCTCTTAGCTCACAACTCAGTTACGAATCCTCGAAAAAAAAAATAAATAAATAAAAATAAAAACTCAATTACGAATCAAACCCACTCCACTAATTATGATGCCTTTCCATTGAACCAAGCCAACACTTTCTTCTTTTCAATTTTAATTTTATAATTAACCCTTTCTATTGCATTTATTATATAAATTACTATTAATAATTTTGAGCGGAATTACTAATATTTTTTGACAATATTTTATTTATATGAATTGCTGTAGTAAATGAGTATCTCATTTGTAATTTTGGTTTTTTACATTTTTGTTCATTGTCTAAAGCAAAATATATATCAAAAAAAAAAAAAAGTTATCAAGTTGTTAGCTAGTTAATTAATCCAAACCTGTACAAATTGATAAATATTTAAATATATTTTTATATCATAATATTTTTAAGAAAATGAGAATTAATATTTAATTTAAAATTCACAAACTCTTTCTGTATAAGTAAAATAAAATATTCTACCACTAGACTATATATAACCCAAATAAAAAATAATCATTGAAGGCACATTCTTTTTGCCTTTTTTTTTTCTTTTTCTTTTTTTTTTTTTAAATTTCCAAATTAAGACTTGAAAAGCTTTCATTCTAGCAACATAACTGTACCAAAAGGTGTTATATAATAAAATCCCAACATTGCACACTACATGGATCTAAAATTATTCTTTGAGGAATATATGTGTTGGCTATATCAATTATTGAAAACTATATAATATAAGATACCTTCAAGTTCAGGTATGCATTTTATATTTAGCTTTGGACAGCTTCATCTTATAATTATTCATGTCAAATTAACTAGACCATATAATTACTACAATAGTAATTATAACACGAGCAATATTCAACTGAATCAAAACATATTGGTTAATTTTTAGATCTTAAATCAAATTATACAAAAATCGAATTTAATAAATTTAATTAGATATATATAAAAATGATTGATCTATAATATAAATATTAGTGTTAATGGAGACGAAAAATATTAGAAATGCTAAAAATATCTCTACTAAATTTATAGATTGTCAAAAATATCTTTATTGGTTTTAATTTTATTGGTTGAAAATTTATTTTGATTGATTATATTGTTTTCCTATTTAAACGTAAATTCTATTGGCTAAAAAAAATTATAATTATAATTATATATTGGATTCTAAATATAATTCTCATTTAAAAATTAAATTAAATAATAAAAGTAATAAATATATGTAAATATTTTTTGCAAAATATTATTTTCATATGTAAAAAATTCTAATTGTATATAATATCTTCTTATTTAAGAACTTTTATTATAATTAAATACTTCATCCTTTCCATTTTATTTGCATGATTTGAAAAAAAATATGCATATTAATAATTTAGTCAACAAAAACCATTTACCCTTAACTGATTAAAATATTAATAAAAGTCATTTATTTGATGGATAATCATAAAATCTGTTTCGGGAAAAATAATTATTTAAGTATATAAATTCACAAACCTTGTAAATATTTTAGAACATCCAAAAAATGAATAATAAGCAAATCAAATAGGATATGAAGAGAGTATTATATATGAGAATCCAAATATATGCATATTTAGGAATTAATTAAATAATAAATTGTAAATATATATGAAAGAATTAAATTAAATAATAAATATAAGCAAAGAATTTTTTTATATGGAAAGAAATTTTAACCGTATATAATATCTTCTTATTTAGGAACTTTTATTATAATTAAATATTATATATTGGAATTCAAATATATCCTTTATTTAGAAATTAATAAATTAATAAAATAATAAATATATTTGAAGGGATTTTCATTTTACATAAAAAATTTTTGTAGGTTTGATTTTCAGATTGATATTTTTATTTATTTTAATGACTAGAATCTTAATCAAAATTTAGGGTTTTATGAGCAATAATCAAGGTAGAAGTGTTTCTTGTTATTTGGATTTTACATTGATTTTTTTTTTTCGGGTTTCTTGATTTTTTTCTATTTTTCAAGGTTATTATTATTTATTAAAAAATATATTATAGGATAATTGTATTGATATAAAATAGAAAATAAAGCTCACTAGAAATATATAAAATACAAAATTATAATATAACAAGTTATATTAACATTGAAAGCTTTTTTTTTTTTCTCAAAAAGTGAAAAAAAAAGAGGAAAACACCAAAAATTATAAACGATGCTCTAAAATCTAGGGATGACAACAGGTATGGTTCGGGTCAGATAGTGCAATCTCCATACCCAAACTCAAACCCTATCCCTATCTCTATATCCTAACCAATATCCTATCGGCTAGAGAATATTATACCCATACTAAATCCAATGGGTTCAGGTATATCTATGGGTCTATGGTGTCTATTGCCCATAAATACCTATTTACTAATTTATTCAAATTGTGTAAAAATTAGATTATATTAAATCAATAAATAAAAGAATTAAAAAATAAAGCATCTTTCCATTAAAAATATGAAAATAAATATTAAAAAATGGTAAATTAAAATTTTAATATTAAAATTGCTCTTCTTATCATAATGTTTGCTTTTTTTATCATAATGTGTCACTCAAGGTAACATTAGTAGACTCTTTAACTGGTAATTAACGAAAACTAGGATGACTTGACACCGCTTGCTTTGAAATATTTGATAAATTAACTCTCTATTGTAATTATTACTTGTGTTGAAGCTTTTGATAAAATATTTTTGTTTTTGTGAGAAAGAAGAAAACAAAAGAGACTCTAACCAATAAGAAATTTTCAATTTCTCGTGCTAACTAATAGTAATTTCAATCTACAATAAATAATATATATAGACTAAAATATAAAATTAAAAATTATTGAACTTTAAATTTTAAAATTTTGAAAGTTTTAAATTGTTATGAAATATTAAATATTGAACTTTAAATTTTAAAATTTTGAAAGTTTTAAATTGTTTAAATAAATTTAAATTATTCAAATTAACTCAAAATTATTCAAATTACAATTATTTTCTTTATTAAATATTTCATACTACAATTTAAAGAAAATAATTAATTTTCAAACTTCTCAGGGTTTGAGTATTGGATTCGGGTATTACCGAATCCAAAGTTTGGATCGGATTTGAATTTTATAATAACAATACTCATACCTTACTCATTTGATTTTTCTAAACCCAATAAAAATCTTAAAAAACGAGTTTGGCTGGAATTAGCTTAGATGCATATCCATCGGGTCGGGCAGATTTTGCCATCACTACTAAAATCATGATTAATATATTAATTATTATAATAGCTAATTAATACTAATTTTCATATTTTAATAATATAGCAATTTATGGTATTATATACTATACAGAGAAAGTAAATTAATTACATTTAAATTATTACAAGAAAATTTAATTTGATTAATAAATAAATTTATTTTCATGAAAATTTTACTTTCAAATTAAAAAAAAATTCTTATTATTAATATATCACTTCCTTAACAAGTTATTTTATTATTGAAATTTTTAAATGCTTTTAGATTATAAAAATATAAACTATTTATAATATTATAATATATTATAAAAATTATATAAATAAAACAAATAAAATAAATTATACTATTTATTTACAACATGGAAAAATCAATAAGTACATGCAACTTGCAATGCACGCTTGGAGAAAACAAATTTTTTCTTTAAAAATTGAATCATGATTCGAATTTCTGAAATATCTTACCAAATCGGTTCGGTTTTTAATTAGAGTCAATCGTTGCTTACCTAAAGGAATTGGTACCACTGTTCCACCGCATAATTATTATTTTTACACACACAGTTGAAAATAAACATAATTAATGGATTTAATCACCGTACTTAATATGATTATCTTGAAAGTTACGACGTGAAGCGGAAACAGGAAGCTTACGGCGGGAAAAAGGAGCAAAGCGTAGCTAAAAGAAAGAATAAAGAAAGAAAAGGCTCCAAAAAGCAAACGCAAACTCTCTCTTCTTCTTTCTTTCACTCAAGGGAGAGTTAAAGGGCAAAAAAGAATGGTTTAAAAGAGACAAAAAACACCGATTGCAGAAGCAAACAAACCAAATCTCTCCGTCCGCCTCTTTCTCTGCGTCGTTCAGTTAATTAAGAGTGTTTGTTTCAAGGAAGATACAGAAGCTCTCTCTCTCTCTCTCTCTCTCTCTCTCTCTCTACCGCTCTCTGTATTGTGGCCAGAGAGAGAGATTGATTAAACTGAAGAAGTATTGCCTATATAGATCTATAGCGCCTGTTCTTAAGGTACATTCATTTCTTTCTTTGTATTATTAAGTATTGTGTAAGGCATTGTTTTTTTTTTTCTTGTTTTTGAGTTTTGTTTCTCCACTGATCTAATATTTCTCGAGAAACAAACAAAAAAGACAATAGCAGTGGCAGAGAAGCTCTGGTGTTGTCCTGCTCTGTTTCTAATTAAAACAGAGAAGAGAGGACATGATAGATGCTAAAAGAAATTAACAATTCTGTTCTCATTTCATTGAACTCTGTTGCATTTTCTCGAAAAACAAACAAATAGTAAATTAATAATCATTATTTTTCAAAGGAAGTTTGATCAATGAGGAATAATTTTGCTTTTTCTTGAATCAAAAAATGGAGTTTTCTACACAATCTTTTCTTTTTCTCTGCAAAATGACCAAACAAACCCTCAGTAACAAGCCAAAAAAAATATCATGGAGGGGCAAAATCGTCAGAAAATCCATAATTAAGTAGACTTGCAAGAGAAGAAGGGGAAAGATTCCTTTACTATCATTTCCTTGCACGCCTTCCGATAAATATTTGTTGAAAATTTTAGAAGAAAGAGAAAGAAACAGAGGATTCTTTACTGTTATGGCTACTAACCCGAAAAGATTCACAAGACCTGAAACTTTTTAACAGTTTGTTAACTATTTGCGCACGTTAACTCGTGCACGCCAATCTTGCTAAGCTGGTGAGCAAGAAGCCGTTACATATCTCTTTGTTACTTGCATTCATCTTTTCTATACAGGAATGTGTTTCGTGTGACTAGTGAATAACTTTAAGTGCAAATAGGAATTTATTCCCAGTAAGTTGAGATAGAATTGCTTCCACTTTCGTTAGGATCACTTATTTTAAAGTGACATTCCTAGGTCTAGCTTAATTGAATGTGTATCAGATAGGTACGGCCACGGAATCGTTTATTTTATTAGGAATTGACCCTTACTTTTCATTAAAAAGAAGGTGGAGGTTGGCGGAATTTCTTCGATCAAAAATTTATTTTTTTTTAAATGACAATCAACTATTGATTTGGTGTATCAGAATGCATGCATATTTTTGTATTTTCCTCTAGCAAGTCGAATTGCATGAATTGAAATTATTGATTCAAATTAAGACCAACAAGTCACGTACACTTAGATTTGAATCCCTCTCTTTGGTATAAAACAAAAAGGGCATCTACGGGACCAAAAACACAAATAGCCGTTTTAGGTCATATATAGGCTTTTTGACTAGCTAAGCTCAGCAAGAGAACAGAGGGGTGGAGGACCTAACTTCTCAAGTGGGCTCTTTTTTCAGTTTTTGGTATAAATTTTGTAGCTAATGTGATGGGAAGCCAGTTTTTTATTTTGACGTTTAGGCAATAACAGTACATGGAATCTTATTCTTCTGTGGCAGACGTGTGGTGTACTAACTAATTGCATACATTTTGCAGGTAGAGAAATATAATGATAAATGAAATTAACTCATCATAAAATGCAAGATATACTGAAGATGCGGTGCTAGCTTTAGTGTATGTAATGAAGGAGAAATGGAGAGTGGTACAAGCAGCAACAGCAGAAATGGTAGGCATGCAGTTATACTTAAAGACTCTTCATGGTTTGGACAATTTAGAAATGGGCGTAATCCTTGGATGGCTAGATATGTTTATGCCTTGATTTTTCTCTTTGCTAATCTTCTTGCTTGGGCTGCTCGAGACTATGGCCATGGTGCTCTGTCTGAAATGGAAAGTAAGATTAACATTGCATCATTATGTGTATATATATTTGATTTAATAGTCTTTTGATTCTTGTAATTATTATTTTAGGGTCCGGATCGGAAATTAGAGTAAAGCTACATGTGGCTTAAGTGATTTTGATTTGAAATATGCAGGACTAAGGGTATGTGCTGGTAAATCTGACTGTTTGGGTGCTGAAGGAGTCCTGCGTGTAAGCTTGGGATGTTTTGTATCCTTTGAATCCCATTTAAATTATTATTTTATGATTTAGACTTGGTTTATGGACCCATCCCGTGTACTAAACTAACGAAAATGGAGTTTTGCAAAAATTTGTTCTCACTTAATCTTTTTTTTTTTTTTTCAGTAAATAGTCAAAAATATCTTAATTTCAATAAAGAAATTATTTTTTATTGATTTGGTCAATCCGTGGATGCATAAGCAAGTTAGTCCATTTATTTTACTCCTTATTAGTCTTGATATGGATTAACACTCGTTTTTTATCGGACTGAATTTGATATTAAGGAAAGTTATTGTCATCCCTTAACATTAATAATGGTACTAACAGATATTTTTCATAATAATGTTTGTGTCAACTGTTGGCACCTCAAAGTTCTATGATCCAAGAGATGCATGGCATTCTGGATGGTGGTCTGCAAAGATTGTTATGTGGATTGCATTAACAGTCCTAACCTTCTTGATTCCTTCTGCATTTATTCAGCTTTATGGTTCGTTGGATCATATTTCTTACTCTATCAAAAGTTTATATATGTCTTTTCATCTCCTTTTATATTTGCAAAAGAAATTGCTGGTAATATTTTATCCACTTTATTTTGCAGGGGAGATTGCGCATTTTGGTGCTGGGTAAGCTGTGATTTCTACTATAATTAATTAAACTCTGTATAGATTTTAAGGTATTGATATTAGTTTCTCTAACTTTTTTTAAAAATAATTATATTTTCAGGGTGTTTCTCCTGATTCAGCTAATAAGCATCATTAGCTTTATCACATGGCTCAACGATTGTTGTCTATCTGACAAATATGCAGAAAGATGGTAAGTCATTTTATTACTATAGATATTAATAATTAAACTCTGTGATATTCTTCTGAAAAAAAAATCCATTATTTTAATTAATTCTCAGTCTATGAATCCATCTTGACAAGGGACAATCTTAACTTCTCTTAATAATTAACACTTAGCTCCCAAAAAAGAAAATTATTAGCTTTTTGAAATTTATTGTTGAGAACAAAAATAGCACAAGATTTTTGTGAATTCACATTCAGCGTTTAGAATCATTCTTTTCATTTTTCAGTTGGACAGTGTTTTCCATGTTTTCTTTTTTTTTTTTCTTTCTTTTAGTTGATTTTGTTATTCAATTGATTCAGTTATCGTTTTAGAAAAATGCAAAATACAGTCCTTATGTCGCTCTATAATTTGGGTTTCAAAATTGAGGTCTCGATTTTCGTTTCCTGGAAACGACGAACCATTAATAGAGGCTGAAACGATGCCGTACAGTAAGAAGAAAGAGTAAATACGCCGAAAACCCTCAACCATTACGCTCACTGAAACCCGACAAATAGCTGTAAAATATGACAGACAGTTATAAGACTGTAATACCCTCCTTATATCCTTGTCTTCCAGCGAGTTAAACTTTTGCGCTCACTCAAACCGACGAACCCCAAGTAAACTGTGACGCGCCAAGTTTTCTTTTAAAAAGGGCATGTATGCCTATCTTTGTCGCGCCATTGTTGCAAATTCACGTTTCTGACCAATACTCTTGCTAAGAAAAGGTTTTCTCGTTTCTGATGATGGATGAGGTTGACTGAAGTGCCATGATCATTGGATTGGCTAAATGATGTGCCGTTCTTACAATTCTATTCTTTTCCCTTTCCCTTTAGTTCCCGGCCGCCGTAACGAAGAGCTCCGGCATCTGGTTGCAATGCCTGTGCTCTTTCCACGGATAGTCTCCGCTGCGGCTGCCGTGAACAAAACCGCCATGGAAAATCGGGGAGTATGTGGTTAAATCTCAAATACAATTTTGGATCTGCTCTGTAACTGAATCAAGAGTTTAAATCTCTGACAATTTTTTTGCATACTTTTCATTATTATTATTATTATTATTATTATTATCTGCGCAGCACTAATATTTGGAGTTAAAAATTCTGGATTGCAGCCATATGCATGTGATGCTAATTGCAACCATTGCATATGTGATATGCATTGTTGGGATAATTTTGATGTACATTTGGTATGCTCCTGAGCCGTCTTGTCTACTTAACATTTTCTTCATCACATGGACACTTGTGCTTGTACAACTCATGACTAGCATCTCTCTTCATCCAAAAGTAAGTTGCTTTGCTTTTCATATTCATATCCATAACATATTTTGAGAAAGGGGTTTACTAATAATTTATGCTTGATAACAGGTTAATGGTGGTATCTTGACTCCTGGGCTCATGGGTCTTTATGTGGTGTTCCTTTGCTGGTGTGCCATTAGAAGGTATGCTTCTTTCTTCCCTCTTTTCCATGCCCTCAGGCCTTAGCTCACCTTTGGTTCGCTCCAAGCATGCAAAATGTCAATTGTTCTTTCTGCTATACATTTCTTGACAGCAAATAATTGTTTACCATTTTTTGTGTTTAAAGTGAACCAGCAGGTGAAAGTTGCAACAGGAAAGCTGAAGCTTCAAAGAGAACAGATTGGCTTACCATTATAGTAATAACTGAACCCTTTCGAAATACCAAATTTACTGAATGCACTTCTTTCACAAACATGTGGATCCATACATGAAAATGATTTGTAAGTTATGTTTGTTAGAGAAATATGCACAATTTTAATATAATGCATCAGGTGCACTAAATAATTCCTCATTCAGAACAGATTTTTTCATTTTGCAAACCATAAGTTAAAATTTCCATCAGAAAAATGACAACTTCCATGTTTTTAACAGAGCTTTGTTGTTGCTTTACTTGCAATTGTTATTGCAACATTTTCGACTGGTATTGATTCGCAATGCTTTCAGGTTTGCTATTGAACTTTTTAATTACTAGCTAGTTATCATTATTTTTCAAGAGGGAAAAATTAAAAACGAAGTGTCTAACTCTAACAATATGGGTACAGTTCAGGAAAAGTGAAAAAGAGGCAGAGGATGATGTTCCATATGGTTATGGCTTCTTCCACTTTGTCTTTGCCACAGGAGCTATGTACTTTGCAATGCTACTCATCGGCTGGAACACTCATCACGCAATGCAGAAGTACTTTCTATTCCAATGCCTAAGCATTTTTTTGTTTTTGTTTTACGTTCTGTAAGTGCCTTCAGGATCATTTAAAGATGACCCTAAAACATTCAAGGTATGATGGCACTCTAGTCTAAGGTGGGCATTCGGCTTAACCGAACCTTATCAAACCGAATACATTTCATGCTGAGCGAAACCGAACCAAAGACTATGAAAATTGGTTCAGTGTTGAACCAAATCAGATCAGTTTAAGCTTGGCTAGGTTGTTCCAAACCAAATAAGCTATTTTAAGCATAAAAATCAATTCAGTTAGCTATGCAAATGACCGAACTGAAAATCACAAACCATTCGGTTATCACTATTTGAATCGATCACTAATTGATCTCTAAAAATCCTGACTGAACCAAACCGATAAGCAGTTCGGTTTGGACCAAATACTGCTCACCTCTACTATAGTCGTCAAACACTAACATTTACTTGCCTTACTATTCTGCAGATGGACAATTGATGTGGGTTGGACCAGCGCATGGGTCAGAGTAGTGAATGAATGGTTGGCAGTTTGTGTATACTGTAAGTACTTGCCATCGTTGTTGATCAAACCGAGTCAATTTGAATGATAGAATTAAGAAAAAATATTGCAAATATTTTCAAAATCAAACTGGACTGCTCTGTAGAATTGATTTGGTCTATTCGGTTTGTTTTCAGAATTGTTTATATTTTGCTTTAAAAAAACCAATAACATATTAAATTTAAATTATAATGTTTCGATTGACAATTTTCTAAGTTGCAGTGAACTAATAAACTGATTTGCAGTGTGGATGCTGGTGGCTCCAATCATCCTCAAGTGGAGACAAAATGCAGATTCCACATAAGGCATTTCTATTTTAAAACCACCAAAGCATTTTGTATGGTCTGTTGTGCATATGAAACAGTTTCAGAAAGAAGTGTTGCAGTGTACTTTGAAAGAATCAAGCTGGAGGAACACATAATGGCATGTACTGATCCAATTTATTCTTATTACTAATTCTTTTGATGTTGTAATCCTGTAATCCAATCATCCGAATGAGCTCAAAGTAAAAAAAGAAAGATCAATATAATGCAATTTACTTGGGAATGCAAATTAATTCCTGTATCTATGCAACTACTACGGAATATTACTTTACTGAAAAAATAAAAGCACCTCATCAGATATCTACCTGTAAATATATATATATACATTCTAATTAGTATATGGTGCCTCAATATTTGGTCGATTGTAATAATCCACCATGTAATGGAAGAATGATTATATTAGCTAATTAATTATAAGGTTTGGATGATTTTTTTTTTTTTTTTTTTTTTCTGTCGTAATTAGTAGTATGGGTGGCCTCATATTTGTCGATGGTAATGAATCCCCATGGAAGTGGAAGAATGATTATATTAGCTAATTAATTAAATAAGGTTTTGGATGATTGTTTTTTTTTTTTTTTTTTAACATTTTAGTTTTTTTTTTTTTTTTTTTTTTAACATTTTAGTGTATTGGGATACCATGGTATTCCTCCTTACTTAAAATGTTAGAATATTCATTATATTAAAAAAATACATATATTATTCATTGCTTGAATCACATGTAATATTAATTACATCAAATCATCCTAATTAAAATTCTGCCATTCAGGACTATTTCACACCTACCACAACCAACGCCATTGCCGCCACCAATTTGCCACTGCCGCCACCACCACCATACTAATGCTCCACCACCACCACTTCAATCGCCGCCACCTTAACCACTCTACCATCACAGCACAGTTATCACTCTACGTCACCACCACTAAGAATAATTAGTTTGAGAAATATCTGTTACTTTTTAATTACGTTCTAATTATATGAAATCAAAATTTTAAAATTTTTTTCATTTAAACCACATGTTTACTATTTTGGTAAAAAATTGGGCCTTTTTCTTTCGATGCATGTTTATAGAATAAATTGTTCAAAAAGTCATTTTTAAAAGTTGATTTTTTGAGAACTAGATATTACTTCCAAGGAGGCAAATTAAAGCTTGTTCCTAAATTCAATGGCATCGAATGAATCTTGCACTTGTCGGTTGAAACTTGTGATGAAGGGACAAAGAAAAGACAGAACATCAACAATTCCGACAGGGAAAATAAAAATATGAAACGAAAGAAGCACGCAAACAACATACTGCAATTGAAAGAAAAAATCATCTTACTAAACAATATATGCATACAAACTGTACTCAACTATAACAATTGTTTCACAACCTTTTCACAGACTCAACCGCTCACCACACCATGAACTTATGAAATCATACATGAAAAGACAGGAAAAAAAATGATGGCATCTACGAGCACAAGAAAACACACAAAAATGATACAGGCAACACGGATCACTCTCAATGAACAATACAAATGCAATTAGACATTTTAGGCACATAAAAAAAAAAATGAACCTAATCCACAGGAAGTAGTCTACCCTTTTAAAATTATAATTACTCTCTCCCTCTCTCTTGCTCTCCGATCAATTTTCAGGACTGCTATGGACAATTTTTTTGCTTGAAAAACACAGGCATCCTTTAACTTGGCTGGATGATTTAAATAAAACAATATGACCAGAACTTTACACCAGCGATTGGAAGGAAGCAACAAGTTGATGCTTCTAAAATAAGGACGGAGATTCGTTTCGTTTGCATTTATCCAAATGGGTTCCCTCCAACAGAAGAGAAAGATGTTGGGGCGGCAGGGGCTGAGAATCTACCAGCCAACTGTTGATCCATATTTATGGCACCAAAAGCAGCTCCGTCAGTGCTGAAGCCACCCACTCCCTGATGCCTGGGGAAAAACACAGATGTTAAAAAAGAAAGAGGTTTGTACATACAGCTCAAACAATGAATTGTCAGATCATTTCTTAAACACTGTATTTAAAAATTTACCCGTTTTAGAGTTATACTGTTAATTTAATCACGAGTATTTAAAGTTATGGTTTTATAGTAACAAAATAATATTACTTGGTTTTATGGCAAAGGAAGGAACCGAGTAAAAACAAATTGAAAATAACAAAAGAACAATCTGATACAAATAAAGGAGAAGGGAGAACAATAGAAGACAAAAGAGGATAAATATGTCACAAGGAAAAGAAAAAAAGAGCAGCTGGTATTGGGAGAATGCTTGTAAAAATGAAACTTACCCAGAAAATGACATGTTACTTGGTACTTGTGCCATATACGCCCCTGAGGTTTCAATGCAATATTAAGCACAAAGCAGTGAAGCACAGCGAATTTAAAAGCAAAAAAAAAGGGGGGCCAACAACCCACGCAGTGAAGCCAACAGCGAATTTAAAAGCAAAAAAAAAGGGGGGGGGGGGGGAGGGGGATTTTGGAAGGCGAAACATATAAGTTGTAACTTTACTTGGAGCATAGCTGGATGCATAAGGTGTGGCGGGAGGGGGATTTTGGAAGGGAAAATATAAGTTGTAACTTTACTTGGAGGCATAGCTGATGCATAAGGTGGTGGCTGGGAAGGCAATGCTGATGGATAAGGCAACGACTGGGATGGCATCCATGCTGATGAGGGAGTCCCAAGACTAGAAGCGCGTTGTAAGCCTGAAGATGGTGGCATATTTGGAAGAGCACCTTGCAAGGGTGCCATGGAAGGAAACTGTATCAGAAGGAACACAAGTCAGCAAATCTAGGAAAAAACATATCAATTAATTTCAAATAACAAAAAATCATGCACTTCATTTTGTTAATAATTAAGTAGATACGCCAAAACAAAAGGTCAAATCAAGCACTTTTCCCCTCTGAAAAGTTGAAGTTACTATATTTTCCCAAATGGGTAGTAAAGCTTCATGTATATCTTTTGCAGGTCTTTTTTTCCGTATATTTACCCATGTGATGCCAACAATCGTAGCACCAAGTTGCCATGATATTTGATCTTCATGAGTTTGCTAACTTTTTATCTCAGCAAATATCTTTCACTTTTCCCATGCAAAATATTATTGCAGAAAGATTGATTCAAATTCAATTAGAAGTTTAAGATCGAATGAATTAATCACATACAGTATGGACTTGTGCTGGAGATGACTCATTGAGATCAAATGGATTTGTAGACTTTGATTGCTGGACATAAGTTGGCATAGGCTGAAATAAACAAAGTTACTATTGTAAGTAATCTGATGAGAATTGAAACAAGAAACCTGCAAAAATACAATAAAATCATTGACTCATCGTTGTCAGTTAATAAACACACCACTGCAGCATTACTATATTGCATTGCGAACCCCATACCATGGGGTGGACCAGTTTGCCACACTGGAATTGCTGCAGGGAAAGATGAATAGGTTGCAGTGAAAAGATCCTGCACATAATTCAGGATTGGTGTCAAGAGGCATGAACTATTAGATTGATATCCACAAAATACCGATCAACATTAGCTCCATTACCACAGGCAGTTCTTTTCTTCCGGTTGGTTTTACTTCTGCAGATGCGGGTTGTGATATACCAGCTGAGGCAACTGCTGGGGCAGGTGCAGAGACAACTTGGGGTACTCCAACAGATGAGGTACTAAAAGCTGCTTGCACATTAGGGGCCACTGAATAATTCCAAGTCTGCCAAAAAGGCCTCAGAAGCAACATATTAAAAAAAATATCATATAGATAGCATAGATCAAGTACAAATTTCTAGAAGTCTGGTGTACCTGGTTGCCTGAAGCTCCATAAATTGGTGGTCTATGTTGTTGAGTGGTAGACTGACCACTGGAAGCAGGAATTAGATGCGGTTGCTGATGCTGCACACTAGGCCATTGCCCTGCCTCATTAACTTTGCCAAAGGAATTGCCACTGTTAATGGGCATTGTAGGCACCAATCCAGGGGCACCTGATGAAACACCACCAGGATGAAATGTCAAAAATATATTAGCTGGTGACACTGGAGAAGCACCAACATTGAGAGGCAATATAAGTGCATCACCTGCTACCACAGTAGGTGAAGCAGTGGCACTTGGCGCTGCATGGCTCACAGATGCAACTGCTGGAGTACCAGAACCACTTGGCATCCCAGAGATTTGACCAGGTACAGATTGTGTCATCGACAATTGCGAGAGAACAGATTCCAATGGATTTGCATTTGAAGAAGTTTGAGATACCTTAACCTCCGAGACAAAATCAAAAGAAGCCCAATTGTTGTCATTTGTTGTACTTGCAGGTTGTGCAAGGGATTGAGACACAGTTGTCTGTTGTACTTGAGGGGCTGTGGTAACAACAGGTGGTGGTTCAGGATCAGCATCAAAATCAATTAAGCTGGCAGTATTCTCCACTTTAACCTCCATTGAGTTTCCATTGGTGGACCCCAAACTACTAGAAGATGCAGTTCTCTGCAATTAAATGCAAGAAAACTGTGAGATCATTTGTTCCTCCACCACCCAGAGATAAAGTGAAAGATTTGACCATGGTTAAGAACAACAAAGATCAAAATGCTACAATTAAGCTGAGTATGCGAAATCTTTGAACAGAAAAACAATCTGATGATTAACAAAAAAACTCAATTCTATTGAATTTCTACGGAATTTCTATATGCAAGAGAGAGAGAGAGAGAGAGAGAGAGAGAGAAAGAGAGAGATGATTACTAAACAACTTTTACATAAAAATCATATTCAGCAATAAGCACAAATGCAAGTTACCATTTACCAACATGAACCAATTCATTCACAAAGCTAAAGCAAACTATTAATTCCTTTGAGTTTTTCTTTTTGGAGTCAAATTAAACCAGCTCACAGGTAAGCCCAAGCTCAACCTGAATTATTTTAAACAATCTCAGGCCTGAGCTCTGACCAAAGCTCACAGTAAATTTTGAGATGGCCCATTTACTTCACTTTTTTTCCCCAGAACTCTTTGGTAAACCTAAGTTTTAAACCTACTCTATCATACATTGCCATACCATATGAACCTGAGACTCTCTAAAATAAATTTATATATAAATGTATGATAATGAAAGAAACAAAAAAAAATAACAACACATGCTATAAATAAATATTAGAAGAGATTATTCCAGAATGATTACCATGAAAAGTACGTAACAAACAAAAGGTTTATGTGAACCTAGTATGACTTCACTAGAAAATTATCAAAATATATTCAAAAATATATGTCATGCATGTGTATTCATATATTTTCAGACCACTTTGGGCTTGTAAAAACTAAATTAATTTCAGCTCAAGCTCTGCCAGAATTTAATTTGGGCTCAAAACTATTGACCAAACTCAAATCAATCTAAGCCCATGCAAACCTTGCCTCAAAAATTTCGAGCTGAGCAATTCGAGTTTTAGACTAGCTCAACAAAAAGATATAGTCCTAATTCCTATTGAGGCTCATCCAAATCAATACTTTGCTAGAGCAAGCTAAGACACAAGATGCGACGTAATTGGCCTTGAGTAAATCAAGTTGTTTGTGTCATCATAGAGATCCTCAAAGAGGTTCACAAATAGCAAAAACATGTGGTGGACGCCAATTAACAAATCAAGTTTGTTTAGTTTGGAGATCGTAATTGGTGTCTCCCTATTTTTTTAATTTCCAGCAGAATAATTTTTGCTGGTGATATAAAAAGATTAGGGCCCTGTTTATTCATGGAAAAATAGAATTACATTCAATAAATTGATTCCAAGAGAAGTGAAAACTAAAATTTGTTTACTTGCAATAAATTTGAAAACAGTAAAAGTGGAAATGAATTTTCTTATGTTTTCTAGTTTACAACTAAGCTTTAAAGAAATACTTTAAGTAGTTTTCCATTTTTCACTTGAATTCTCTGTAGATTAAAACAAACACAGAGCTCCATCTATTGTTTCCCATGTTTTACAGATTGCTCCATGGCAAATTGAATTTCATGTTTTATTTCCCATTACATGTGAGTGCACCTCAGGGCCAAACAAACACACTCTTTCCCAAAGTCAAATTATATCATGACATCCTAAATCTGGAACATGAACTGCCAAAGAGCTGACACATGAAGTGGCATAAAACCAGCACGAACGAGAATCAGGAGATAAAACAAGTGCATGTTGTGTACTGCTAGGTGATTCATTTGAGGTTGTAATTTTTATGTAGATTCACATACACCAAAGAAGTACAAAAGAAAATTTTGAAACAGGAACGTTGATCTGAAAAGTTCAAACAAAAAAAACTCTTGGGCAGGGATGGATCAATGACAACAAAACAATTGAAGCAGAGACAAAACATTTAAGAATCATATAGACAACTGAATGAAACAGAAGCTCTACCTGTGTCTGTGCAAAGCCATCAGCAGCTCTTACAACATTGGCTTTTGGAGGTTCACTTATACGAAGAGGCATTATATTATCTCCCAAAATTTCTCTTACCGGTCGTACAACAGGGGGGCTAGAAGCCTCTGGATCTTTCAGCCGCTCAGGCGACCTACTTTCCAGCTTAGAATCTCCATCAGACATTCTACGATCATCAGCCTTCTTACCATTTCCAAATCTATCCTCCCGACGCCAATCATTGACTATATCAGGACGTGCAGGACTTCTGTTGTTATCATTATACTGTCGACTTTCTTGTTCATATCCAGGACTTCTTCTTTCATCATACCCATATCTATTTCTGTCATCACTTCTTCCTCCAGGACTAGACATGTCACTGTAACGGCGTTCATACGTGTCCTCATAAGGTGGGCTTCGAGATCCACCTTGGTATGAGTCCTCTTTGTCACCCTGTATGATATTTAAGTTCAATCAGAAGATCAGCATGTTTCTAATTAAAGTATTTTTTAGAATTCAAAAAAATTAAGTTCAATTTCACAAATATTAACTAGAACAAGTTAATCCCTGTTATAATATTTTGAATTCACATAAACAGGGGAAACGACAATCTTACCAACTTTGCACTTGGAGGCTTTCCGTAGTTCCTCTCACCCGTGTAGCGTCTATCTACATAAACATGTTTAATAAAGTCTCGAAGTCTCTCTACATTGCTGGCAGCAAAAACATGAATCAGATTTGCAATCATTATCATAACATATAATAAAACACATCATAGATGAGTGACAACCTGCCATCAGGGGCAGACTGACGCTGTGGATCCCATTCTTTAAGATAAATGTCTCTTGCACGCTGTAAATAAAAGACAGAAGTCAGTTAAGACAAAAACTGAATGGACAAGTCACAGACAATGCTAGGCAGGTATTTAAGAACCAACCTAACTATTGATTGGCAAGAGAGAACATAGAGGAAAGAGAGGGAAAATGGAAGACAGAGAAGGGAAGAGAGAGGAAGATTTAGAGAATAAGAGAATTAAAGAGATGGAAGCTGAATTCTCTTTCTGTAGTTGGATCCCTACTATAATTGAGCATTAGCTATTTACATTTCTAGCTATTACAATTCAACAAGAAGTGCAACACTAAAAACAACCACCAATAAATTCTCACTTTGTAATAGTAATATACCTGATTTCCTCCTCCTTGAAGAGCAGCAACTTCTTGTGACGTAAATTTAGCCATTGATACTGATTTTACTCGGTGGGTGAATTCCCGACTAGAAAAAATTTCAAAGCGTTATATCAGTGCAAGTGAGACTCTCTCTCCCTCTCACTCACTCACCCCACCCCCCACCCCCCCAACTGCACCCCACCCCAAACAAGCACGAGGAGAAAATTCTCAAGAAAACACAGGAATTACGAAACAAGAGAGAGCAACAGACTACTGCAAAGAAATTGGAAAACAACTTAAAAATAGTCATACTTACTGTATGCCACTACAGTTGGTGCAAACAAATGTCCAGAAATTTGTGCAAACATATTGCGGTCCCTGCTCAGTCAATAAAATATTAGCACTATATAACAATCTATATGTGAGCTTTTCTCCAGTAGAACAATAGCCCATGGCACTCCAATTTTCATATGAATACATCAGGCAACTTATTATTACTTCAAAAGAATTTTGTAGTTGACACCAAATGAAACTTTGCATCAAATCATCCATGAGAGACAGTTGGCTAAATTCCATTGAATCATCAACAGATAGGGAAAAAAAAATCTTTTTCCTAATAATAGGCATAACATTTCAGCATCATATGAAAGGACTGTAAATTATAGATAATTAAGCATATTTTTACCATAACCACACATCTAGATAGCTAATCTAATGACTTATTAAATCATAAAAAACATGGTACAGCAAAAGATTTAAAAGATATACTTGAATACTCTATATCCGTGATTATGCATATCCAAACCTTAAAGGTCCTAAAACCTTAGGGAGGTCTAGTAAATACAGAGTAAATACATCCTCAATATTTATTTATTTTTTTCTTAATAGAAAAAAAAAAATAGAAATAGAAGATAACCCTCCTATATAATCTCCAAGGAAGCATTGAAATCAATAGACGAACTATTGAATTTCCTTCACATCAACAACTTAATTTCTTTTCATAGATCAGCAACAACTGATTAAGTCCATTTCATTAATCCATGAAGCTCTACACAACAAATTATAATACATAAAAGTCTAACAAAAGATTCATATTGCCAACCCAACTAGTTTGGGATTAAGACTTAGTTATTGTTGTAAAGGTTTCACAAAGCCGAAAGTAAGAAGCATAAAGCATCAAAAGATTGCTTCATTCTCCTATAAAAAAGGTCCTCAACTTCTCCCCAGCCTAGCTATGCAGTAATGCGAAGGCCATTAATCACTATACCATAGATTTACATTTTTTTTTTTTTTTTTACATACGTCTAAGAAACAGCTCATTCATAATTGAGTCCAATTACGTGTTTTTACAATTTTATTCAATCGATTGACCCTTCAACTCTTACCAAAAGAAATGTTCAAATTTGAATTCAACATAACTAAATCCTAAGCCAATTAAGCTAGAATTTTATTTATGGTTTTGCACAATAAATAAACTACAATGCAAAGACAATAGAAGCAGTGGAAAATCACTCACCAAGCAATTACAGTTGATGCATCTCCGGTTCTCAGGAAGCTTCAAAAGTCCCCGAATTATTCGTTCATTCTTCTCGTCTTCTTTAACTCGACTTGCCATTTCACTGCCAGCTTCAATTTAAAAAAAGAAAAAAGAAAGCAGTTTCATAAGCTATTGCAAGCAAAGAGAAAGCTACAAAACACACTTAAAATTAATCTGATAAATTGACTAATCCTCCAATTTAAAAACCAACAAGCCTAACATTATAACCATTCTATGCTTCTATAAACATGATAAGCTTATATTGACTAATCAAAATAATCACATAATGCACTAAATTAACAGAAAAATGAATCTAGATTCGACCATAGTAATTCTGTTCATCTGCAATGCAACTCAGCAAGACCAAGCAACTATAAAGAGACGGAAACTGAAAATTCAACAATCTAAAGAGACGGATCTGATGAATCAAAACAAGCAACAGAAAATGAAAAACACCAGAGTCGTTTTGGAATCAAACAACTAAACAAAATAAAAAACAGAAACAAGACTTACCTATAAAGTTGATTATGGCCTTTTAAGCTTCTTATTATAACTAGAGATCCAGAGCTTAGATTGCCTTTGCCTCTCTCCCTCCGCAGTATTTAATTTGGATAAACAGTGGCAGAGGAAAAGCAGAAAGAGAAATGATCTGCAGATCTTTCAAGAGTCGGTAACCAAGGGGCTTTTGTACAGCTAAGAGCTAACCAAAGTCTGCTTTTCCCGAAAATTAAGAGAGAGAGAGAGGGGGGAAATTAAAATATATATATATGTTAATATAGAAATGAAAAAGAAGGGTATATTTTATGGTGGTATTGGACACAGGGGATCTGTACCCTGTCCCTACGGCTGTGCTGTGGCGTGCGCGTGGCGTGGGATTGTCCCATTTTTGACGGTTTTTATGGTCTTATTTTGTTCAAAGTTACAGACTTGCAGTCACTGAGACTGGTCTAAGATCGTATAAGGCGACTTGTTGAGTCAGTCGGGTTTTATGGTTGTTATCGCCCTTTGCTTTTGCCAAAATTACGCAACTAACCCCGATTTGAAATACTAATTGCTGCTGCTTAGCTACAGTACACTTTATATGTTTCTGGATTTTGATTATCTTGTTTTAAATTTTAATAGGAAAAATCTTAAGATAGAAATTTCATTTTTAGAAAAATTTCAACCTAACAAAATGATGTTTTTTTCTTTTGAAGGAAAAATTATGTTAGTTTAATGGTAAACAACTTAAGAACAACATTCCGGGAATCTAGATCCTACCTATCATAATTTAATTATAATGATAATATTTATAATTACTTTTAGATTTTTTTTCTTTTGAGAAATATATTTAAATTTTTTTTTTTTTAGAATCTTGTATTCTAATCTTTATAAAGTACTTGTCAATTGTTAAATTTTTATTTTTATTTTTGCGGAAATTGTCTAAATTCGCATAGTAACTACAATATTTCCTAATTGAATAAATTCTTTTTTTTTAAATGAATAAATTCTTTTTTATTGAGGAATGATTGTGAGCCCATGAAAAAAAAAATTCATATTTAAAATTTTATTACGTTTCTATTTTAAGATCTAGAAAATAATTTTTAAAACTTAACTAAAATTTGAAAAATAATTTCCCTTTATAACAAAGAATGAGACTTTCTGCACCTGGTATATAAATGGTCTCATAAACCAAATCAATAAAAAAAATAATTTTTTGAAAAATATTACTATTTTATCTTTTTTTTTCCTATTATGTGTTTGGAAATACATTTTCAAACCAAAACACTAATTTGGAATTGATTCGATATATAGACAACCCATACACTAGTATAGATAAGTATTTCCAAATGTTATATTTTCAAACCGTTTCATTTAAAAAAAATATTAACTTTTCATAATTAAAATTATAATATATGTAACATCTTTAAAAAATATGTTTTTAATGAAAAATTATTTTAAAAAATACTTAGGTAGCTTAATTAATTTTTTATTTTTAATTGTGTATTATATTTTAATATGTAATTAGTTTATCATTACATAAAAATATATTTATAATAATATTATTTATTTGTTATAAATAAATTGATAATAAATAGTGCAAATATTTAAAAAATTTTAAATTTTTTTTCTAATGTTTTATCATTTTATTATAAAATTTATGAATTTTTTTTTAGTTTTAAAGTGAAATATAATTTTTTATTATTAACGATTCAACATGTTTTTCTTTTCTCTGTTTCTTTTTTTTTTTTTTTTTTTTTAATTTTTTTTATTAACGATTCAACATTTTTTCTTCTCTGTTTCTTTTTTTTTTTTTTTAAATTGAAAAAGGAGAAGCAAGAAACTCTAAGAGAGACAAACAATTCTAGGATAGACAACACTGAATGGCATCATCATCAACCATGATGCCAACCCAAGAGGGGTTCAGTAAGAATATGAGTGCCAAAGAGAACGTTACTGGCGTTTCTTTCGAAAGACAATCCGCATAATAATTTGCTCCGAAGATATACATACCGCCACTTTACAGTATCAAAAAGATCTTGAAGCAAATTATTGATGTTTAGAACAAGCTGGATGAGAAGCTCCAGCAGACTTCACTTTTCCGTTGGGAAATAAATTGAATAAGCCAAATCGCATTTAGTCATACGCCAACCAAAACCAAGATTGCTTAAACTGCTTGACCAGCTTAACACCTTCCATTAAAATGTGCATGATTCAGGTTTGGAACGGAAATTGCTTATTTTCGGTCCACTCCAATGATATCGCCATATAAAAAATAGAGTTTCAGATTAATGTCTCATTCTAAAATATCGGATATTAAAAAAACGGAGTCCTACTGCCATCCAATAGAATGTAATTGCTTCTCAGCTTTTTTTGGACGGAACGAGAACGGAACGGGAATTTCAAATCTATGGGAACAGGACGAAAATGGGACGGATGTGGAAATCAATTGGAAGTTCATTGTAATCTTACTAAATTATTTTCATTAAAAAAAAGATAAATACTATATTCATCAATTATAAATCAAACAAAATTCCATTATATAAATTTGAGTTAAAAAAAGTATAAAATAAAATAATTAATTCATCGTTAATAATCAATACTAAATCTAATAGTATATTTTAAATATTTATTCTAGTTAATAAAAAGATTAAATATAATAAGCAAAATAATTATAAAAACTAATATTACAATTTAAGATTTTAGTTAATAAAAGCATTAAATATAATAAAGCAAAATAATATAAAAACTATATACAATTTAAATTTACATGTATTTTATAAATTTTAGCTCATCAATGTTTTTGTCGTTGTTGTCTTTACGCTTATTGAAATTTAATACTTATTTTAATTTAATCTTGAATGTCATTTGAAAAATAAATTATGATAGCATTAAGTATTAACCAATAATCCAATAATTAGATTAATTACAGTTAATATTTTCTCTTGTATTGATTAAGTTTTTCATTTTATGTTTAATAGAAAAGAATTTATTCAAAAAAATTTACTTAGCATATAGTGTGAATAACAGAGGAAAAACTTATATTAAGAAAAATATGTTTAAGTACTTGATTTATTTTATATTTAAAAAGTGCATAATATTTTTTCGTATTATTACTTTAACAATAATTGGTTCAAACAAACTAAAAATAAAAGAATGAAATGATTTTTATGGATATAATTTGAAATTAATAAAAAAAGATAAGTAGAATTTTAAAGAAAAAATGGAAAGAGAATTCTCGATTTTCGGAATGAAATTGATATAACGGAATTTTGATCGGTTTTAATCAAATAACCAATTACGTCTCATAATTACTTTCGAAATTGAAACGTATTAAATTAATATTGAATTTTATCGGGATAAAATATTCGGAACCTTCCATGACCGCCCATAATTCAACATTTGGAATCAAATAAGTATTGGTCTTAAAAAGAAAACCTTACAAATAGAAAAGTCTTTGGCTTTACCTCAATCGCAAAAATCAACAAATTGATTAACTATTCTTTTCTTTTTCTAACATAGTAGAGGACAAAAAAGAATTTGGATTTGATACCTTCCATTCCATGCATCATATCATGAGAAATTAATCAAAACACAATTTATTATTTATACAATAATAAACTTCCGAATTCAGTATTTAAAAAAATAATAATTCAAAAGCAACTTCTATTTTTTACTTTTTATTAAATTACCGGTTTTCTAGATTACTAATTTTATTTTCAAAAAGAAAATTTATTACATTGCACACATGCAAATAGCCTTTTTCTAAAAGCTTTTTATATTACACAGGGAGGAACAAATATTGATTTAAAAATTTTGTTTTAAAAATTCAGGTTAATAGTCGAGGCCGCAAACAAAACAACAATAGCTGCTTTCACTAACACTATGCTATGATTGGTAGAAAATAGGGGAGAAAATAAAATTGAAAAAAAAAGATTAAATTCAGAATTTTATTATTAATAAAGTCTTACATCAAGAAAAAAAAAACTTTATATTTCCCCTCTATTTTCTTTAAATATTTTATTTTCCCCCTAAATTATTATCTAAATACTTTCTAATTGACAATTTAACCCAACCATAATCATTAATCGTCGTGATGATGAAAGTTATTATAGAAAGTCCTGTGATTATCGGCTTTTGATTTACCGGTCAAAATCTTTTGATTGACTCGTAAACAGGCCCAGCCACGCGCGAGGCTAACTGTGTTTCCCAGCCAAAAGCAGTTGCCACTGCCAGTTGCCAGTTGACAATTTCCACGTCTACAGAGTAATTAATTTTTGTCTTTAGCAAATGTGACAACGATGAAGACTGGCTTTTTTCTTTTTAATAAATAATCTCCAATGGGTAATGAATCATATGTATATAAAGCAAGAAGTTTTTTGAATGTTATCTGTTCGCTCAAATAGCGCAAAGCAAGTGGAATTATTGTTGCCAACCTGGCAACTAAATTTAATTGCTAAGCTTCAACGTGGTCTTTATGTGTTTTTCATTTTTCGAAAACAACAACTTCCTTTCATTCACAATACAGAGTATTAACGATACAAAACAAAAATACAGTACAACGTAGAAACTTAGAAGTGGCTAAATGTCAGGAGGATATTGAAGAGAAGCAGTAAAATATCTGGAAATTTCAGATTTTGGACTTGGGGTAAATTAAAGTTTAGCAAAATTATTAATTCTTTTTTTTGAGAAGAAATTATTAATTCATTTTTATTGTCTGAAGAAATTACCATCTATCGCTCTATTATTAAACTACTAAGCCATGTGTAACTCAAATTTTGATGTATGGCTCTGTTAAATTAATATTAAGCCCTTCTCTCTAAAGGTTTATTTTTCCGTAACTTTTTTATTCGTTTGTTTTTAAAAAATTATTTACATTTGATATTTTCCTTAATAAATATTTTTTAAATGATTTATTCTTTTAATCGGTTGCAATATTTAAAATTAGTTAAAAATATTAAAATTTTTAAGTCATAAGAATGCAACAATATTAATAATAATAGAAATTTATATTTTAAAAACTTTTATTGTTAAATACAAAAAGACCATAAAATTTTTATAAAAGTCGTTGGTGACCGATGGTGATGGCCGGTGGTAGTAGTGGTGGCTAATAAATTAAAAAATATAGATTTATAAAGAATGTTCAAAAAATATTTTACTCTTGAAAATGAGAAGTCATTTTCCTTAAAAATGACTTAATTATCTTTTAACCGTGAAAATATTTTTTATTGATTTATTTTCCTAAATGCCTCAAATAAAAAAATTATGAAAAATATTTTCCTATAAATTATTTTACATAAACAAACAAAGATAAAAATACCTACTTTGCTAAACTATGATCTTATTTTTCATTTCTTTTGTTACTCTCAAATCAAAAGCACCACAAATTCAAGTATAGTTAACGGAAAAAAAAACAATTTTACATCAAAACTTTTTCTATGAAAAAACCAAGTTCACCTAGATTACCAAAGAATAACTTTGAACTCTGTGAATTTAGTGGAACTTTATTACAACTTCATAGTAGCACAAAAATTCAAAAATTCATATATTTCCCGCAAATTCTTATAGACAGTTTAGATGGCGGTAAAATAGAGATATATGTAAAATAAAGGGTGAAAATATCTTGAAATTTTGAAAATTCCTTGTTTGATTTGGGTGAAATGTTAAGAAGAGTGTAAAATAAATTTATTTTACATCATTGTAGGCTAATTTTCACTCTATTTTGAGATAAAAGCAATGAGTGATATTTTACACCTTTATTTTACCTTTTCTCTCTTCCTAAACATAGCGTTAGTAACCAAAGATCCTCACGTGGGCTCTCATACTCTGTAGCAGTAACCGGTCTATGCTATGCCGCAATGCATGGTTTTCAAAAAAAAAAAAAAAAACCGAAGCATTGGTTTTTCCAAAAAAAAAAAAAAAAAAAAAAAAAAAAAAAAAACCGAATCGCATAACCTAATCGAATCGAATCAAAATTGAAAAGAACTGTTTTGTAAGAATAATAATCAGAATCGGAGCTGAAAAGATTATGTGTTGATTATGATTCTGGTTCTTGCTAAGAATTGAATTGGAATTGAACCAAAACCAAACCTAATTATGGTGCGGTTCTAATTTTGATTCCTAAGTTATTTGATTCCGATACTAGTTTCAAATTTGAGAATAATTGAATTATAGTTCTATTCATGTCACTGCAAAACCCAACACTAATGCTTTGTTTGGATGAAGGAAGAGAGGGATCATTAAAGTAAGGTATGGTGCAATATGGTACCAGAAAGTATGATAAATATCTTTTTTGTGTTCATTGGAAAGAAATGCTAAATGAAAGTTTAATAACATTGTTTTGTTTGGTTTGATGATAGAGAAAGATAATGTTAAATATAAATATTACGAAAATACAATTGTCATGAAAGATTTATAAATATAATTATAGATAATCTTGAAAATTAAATTTTTTAACTATGGTTACACTCCAATTCAAGATGTTGAAGATTATAGTGTTTAGACGGGTTTTCAACCCCTCAGATAACCTTCAAAAACCTATACTCTCTCTTGAGCTCTCTTCCCAAACAACTAAATAACCTAAGTCTATCTTAATTTACTCTCCAAATCTATCAAATAACCTCCATCCAAAGAATATGTAAATATTAGACTACCTATATTTGTATTGTATAGACCATTATGCCCGTTTAAAAGGAAACTGAAAGAGATTCCAATCTAATTACATGTAATCTTCTTATTTTTAAATATTTCCATTTTTCTGACTTGAATAATCAACTGTGGATACAAGATAATTAACGAAATACAAAGTTTAAATATTTCGTTTTCAAGCGGTACTTGCTGGTGCCGCAATCAACAGAGGACAAGAAAACAGAGAAAGAGAATAAGAAACTAGTAGACGTTGTTGCTTCTTTGGCAGAGGTTCAGGATTTTTCAGAGGGACAGAGAGAGGAGCTCAATGCTGCACTTACTTTTTCCTTTTATTTACTTATTTCTTTTTATTTTTGGCTAGAGGCATCAAGTGAATTGAAGGTATTTTTATAGGTTTTCTTGTATTTTTTATAAAAAAATTTATGATACTTTCAATTTTCACTTTGACCTATTAAAACACTTTAATTATAAAATTGCACATACTATACACTTTAATTAGTCTATTAAACACTTCAACTTATAAAATTAAATTAATTAAACATTTATTGGATAGTTGAAAAATATAAAAATTATTTTTCTAAAAGCTGTAATAACCACATATACAATCAATATTTTTCTTTGCTGGAAGAGCCAAAAACCTACGCTTTACGGTTCGAGGAATTAAACCTCCTGATTATACAAAAAAAAAAAAAAATCAAATAAAGAAAAAATAAATCAATTGTTTATGATATGAAGCGCCAAAAGCTTTTAAAAGAGTTGTTAGTTCTGATTTTCCTGTTTTATTTTTAAGAAAAGCCAATTACCAATATCGTGTGGTTCTGTATAGTTTTTTATGTCATGATAACGTATTTGCGAAGGTAAGATTTATTTTAAGATATATATATAAAAAAAAAAAAAAATCAATTGTTTAGATATAAAAGCCAAAAACTTTAAAGATTGTTATTTCTATTTTCTTTTTATTTTGTATAGAAAAGCCAATACCATATATCGTGTGTTCTTTTTTATTTTTTTATTCATGATAACGTATTTTGCAAGAAATTTATGTTTAAGATATATATTATTTATTTTATTACTTATTCGATTTCTAAAATATTTATATTATAATTTTTTTTAAGAGTCTGATTGCAAGGAAAGAATTTGCAAACTTATAGCATAGATTTGAATGTTTTGCATAGATAAAAAAAATACTATTATATGGATATAAAATACAATCCATATAACTTATATTGTTCTAGTGGCATGTCGTCTATGTTATTATTTAGAGTTTGAGAGAATTAATTATGGAATATTATTCTATTCAATTTATGATAAAATGCTAGTAAAACAATTGATATCTACTAGGACAGTTGACAATTATTAAATCAACTAACTTTGTTTAACAAGCCCTAATAATAAAAGTTATATGTTAGGGACTAAAGTGTTAGAGAGGTCCATAAGTTTGACTATAATTTTGGAACTAATTTCTACGTCAATTGATCATTAAAATAAGTTATTTTGAATAAAAGGGCCAATATTTTATTAATGAAATTTTAAGTAAGGGATCTCATAGTGAATTTTTAAAAATAAAAGTCCTTATTATTAATTTGATTATAATTTAGAAACTTTTTTTTCGGTTTATATTTTACCTTATTGAATGATGTAAAAAGTTAATATTTGGAGTAAAATTTACTTAATGATTTGATGATTCTGTGAGCTTTTGTCTATTTCCATTTAGATAATTTTATAATTTGAATAAAATAAATTGATTGCAAAAGAATATTTACGTTTATGTTTTTTATTTTAGTTAAGAAGATGAGTTTATTATTTTTAATTTATTAGGTTAGAAAGTTTTTATATTTTTTAATTTATAGAAAGAAGCTATATTGGCAGTTTTTATTTTGGTAGAAAAAGACAAATAAATATTTTTAAGGAGAAAATAGCATGTTATTGTTTCATGAGATTAATTTATTACATTTTCAATCAAAATGGTAAATATTATATATTTCTTTTAATTTTTATATTCATTTATATCGTTCTTTATGAATTTTTTAATTTATTAAATATAATTATATTAATTTCTATGGTTGTTTACTAACTTTTTAATTTAATTATATTATCAAGCAAATTAATATAATAATAATTATTATTCATAGATGAAATATAAAAAATAAAAAATAAAAAATTAAAATAACTTTAAATATAAAAATAATATATTTCTAACTTACTGTTATATATATCGCGTCAGGAGTACAAGTAGCTGTAGATAAATATTTCCCTCCAAAAAGCTGACGCGGCAAAAAGGACAATTGCATAGCGGAAAGGTCTGTACTTGTAGCTTCGCACTGCTTCACTTCGGCGCTGAATGATCGGATAGGAAAAAAGAGGCAAAATCCCAGAAGAAAACTTCGCACTCTCTCTTTCGAATAAAAACATAGCAGGAGCAGAGAGGTTGAAAGCGTGAAGAAAACGGAACGAGATAAGAGAAACAATACAAGATTCACTATACCTATACTTACAAGAAACCATTTCTTGTTCTTCGTTTACAGGGCGTTTATTCTAATAATCACTCAATCTGTAAGAAATTTTAGAGACGAAATGTTCGTATAAGAACACTCCGTTCTTGTTCATGAAATTAGGGTTTGTTTTCTTTGTTTCAAGTTTAAAAATCAATGGCGAATGCGAAACAAGAAGTGGAACCTTGTTACGACAGTGATTCAGGGGATTCGTGGTCGCCATTGGACTTGCTGAGAATAGAAGCCACCGATGATGACGATATAGACAGCAAAGAAGAGAAAAGGGCTTTAAGGACTGGTCGGAGCTCTCGTTTTGGTTTTGATGATGAATTGCACGGCGCTGGAGGAGCACCGGAGGAGGATGATGAGGACAAAGAAGCTCTTGGTGTGGAAGAGGAAGAAGATGAGAGTTCTGGTGAAGAAGCAGTAGAGGAACTTGAAGATGAATTTGAGGAGGTGGAACCTCTAGAGGCTGCTGAGGTAGGGAGGCAGAGATATGCAGAAGAGGAAGAAAAGGAGAAGGATAAAGAGGCGGTTACAATTCCTAGAACAGGTGCATTCTACATGCACGATGATCGGTGTCAAGGCAGTGGCCGCGGACGCAGGTACTTATTATGTGGTTACTATTCCTCTTTAATATACAAAGTGAGATTCAGAGACATCAACACATCACACTAATTATGAGGGATTAGCTTTATTACGTGTTCTACAGATTTCCGATGTTCTGGTTAGTAAATATTTAGTGTTTCTCTGCGTCTTGATATCTGTAGTAGTTGAAATCTTAGTTGGAGCAGATTAAGTGACCTTTTATACTGGCAAATGGCAATGAGACATAAACTCCATTTGTTTTGAATTTCTCTTCTTGAATTTGTTCGTGCCTTGTTTGATTGATCCTCTAAATGTAGGAGGTCTCAAACACTACCAGATTATTCTAGATAGCGTGACATTGATGAGCATGAATTTTGGTGGTGTTATTGTATTTTGATCTTCAACATGTTGAACTGTGATGAGTTTTGCCTATCCGGATTTCAAACAAGTACCAGTGACACAAGCATCTGTGAGAGCACAGAACCTTTTAGTCCCTGTTGGACAAGAAAGACCAAATTTGACACTGTGATTTTGCTCATCTAATATAACTTCTGCACGAACGTGGATCTCCTTTTCTTTTATTATTTGTTCAATTTTTCAAGCAATCTTAAGTGTCACCCCTCCTAGATCTTACAAGAAAGATTAACTTGAGTGTCACTACGATGAATGTCAAGTAGGTTGAATGTTGGGGGTGTTCATTTTGTAGTGTAAAGTTGTTTTTTACATTCCTTAGATTTTTTTTTTCCAGTATTCTTTATTTTTCATATCCAATGATATCTATTTTTCAACAATTACAATGCCTAATTTTGTTTCCACTTGTTCGTTATTCAACTTTTTCTTTGAGTTTCTTGTCTGTTTATGTGCTCAACCAGATTTATGTGCATTCAGGATGAATTTGGGCAGCAAGAACTTGCAGGAACTCAAAGATGAAAAGAAATGGCCACATGGCAAGTTTCAAGAGATGATGCGGAAGGACCCAGAAAATAAAAAGTTTAATGCCTACACCAAAGTTCCGTCCATTTCCTGAATACTGTTTCTGATTTCTGAAACTTTTGATATGGTGGTGGGAAGAAATATTAGATTGCTGCGTCTCTTATGGTTTAAATGTAAAGTTATTCGTGGAGATATTAGTATGACACATTCTCTGAATATATTTTCAGGTACAGAATTTTTCTGATAGCCATCATCAAGGATACTATAAAAATAAAAGCAGAGGTTGTGATGTTAATGCCAATCAATTTATACCCGACGATAACAATAACTATCAAGGCCTTTCATCAAGAATTGTACGAGGTCGAGGGCCAATGAAATATAAGCCTCTTAACAGCAGCAATGATGTAGATCGACCTGGAAATATGGAGTAAGTTACAATTACGAGGCACTTCCTGTTTACATTGCCTTTTCATAATTGCATGTTAGATTTATATTTATTTTCCTCAAAATTTTCAGATTGAGGAAGTCCCCTGGTATAAAATCAAAAGCTGATTCAGCAAGAACGTTGTCAGACACTTCACAGGCAGACTCTGATTCACTTGCTTCTAAGAAGAAGCATCATCATGCAACTTCTTCCAAACCCGACATCTCTGTGGCAAATAAAAGGAATGTACAACCTCGTTTTCTAGGTTATGATGCATGTATGCCACATTACAAAGAATATATGCAGGGGAACAGTGTAGATGATTATTTTGAGAGGAACAGGCTTTCTGCTCAGGAGTCCATATTTCCAGTTGTTGAACATCGTTATACCGGTCTGCCTTTGCAGCCTTCAGTAACCACATATCCTGATTCTTCCCAGCTGAGGAGTCAGGCAAGGGATTGTCCTCTTCACCCACTGATGATCCATCATTCACCCACATCTTCTAATGCAGTTGATAACCATGTTGTTCAACAAACACCTCTTGGAAGCAGATGTTGCTGTCCTTTACAAGCTTACACTCAGCAGTTGACCTCACATTCAGGTATTGGATCTCAAGCTTCATTTAAAGCTCCAATATCAATTGAATTAGATCTTGGACTGGTGAAATCTCTTGCTAGATGAAGTAAATCAGAAATTGACATTGCTCAAGGTTGGCTAAGAGGTGGCCAATGTGGCGAAACTTGTGTCCATCAGAACTTTACCACAATTGCACCATGTTTGCCTTGTATATCTACTTCTTTTGCCTTGTTCTTTTTTGAATAGAATCCTAAACTTTATGCTTGTGCTATCAGCCACAATGATTGCAGTTATTGTGCGTTCTTCTTAATTTGTAATATGTTAATTCTTAATTTTCTATGGTAATTAAAATGTAGGTCTCCTTGCTTATTTTAGTGATATTGAGTTGTGGCTTCATAATAATTAACACATATCTTCATTCACCTTTTTTTATTTTGTTTGGATGTGCAGCTATGCAGTTTGGAGACCAGCATCTTGGTCATCTTAGTGATCATGTTGATGACAGGGCTGTTGGTAGATCTATGATTCAACCCCAAGCTGGTCTTGGAAATTCTGAGATGACTCGGTATGCTATCTTATTATTAAATCAAAGTATTTTTGTGAGTTTCCTCACTTAAGTTGCATTTCTGCCCCTTGGATGGTCACTAAGTTTAGCATCTCAATCAAACATAGGCCCTTGGCTAAGCTGTCTTACCAAAGACAATTTATTAAGACTAACAATAGAATGATTTATCAGGAAATAATGTCCGTGCTAATAAAAGGAAGATTTCCTTGGATTTTTTTTTTCAGATTTAAAGTCTTAGCTCCCCTACCTTTGAATCAAATTCATGTTTGTCCTGATTAATAAGTAAAAATATACTAGAATCACTGTTTGAGATGGTCCTTTTGCAAGCTGCCTAGACCGTAAGTATTCTTCACTGTAAGTGCTTGTTGTTTGCTGAATTGGCATTCTGATGTTAACATACTAAGGGAAATTCTCTTGTAGCTCCTTGACACTGAAACATTGCACCCCTGAAGTCCAAACAGAGGAGTGGTGAAATTGACCCATAGGATATCTTGATCACAAGTTATAATGTTCATGCAAGGAGAAATAGGTGTAAATAAAATAAGTCAACCATTAATTCAATTTTGGAATGGAAACAGGTATTAGAAAGGATGGTATGGCCTGCCTATCTAAGCTATGTTTGAAAAGAAAATGTTCAAGTTTTGCTTTCTCTGCTTCATAATGCAGACAATTATTTCTTTTTTTTTTTTTTTTTTTTTAAGAAAAGATAAATGTTCAAGTGTTGCTTCTCCTCCTTCATAATGCAGACCAATTAATTCTTTGTTTTTTTTTTTTTTTAACAATAATGTTAATAGTCATGTTTCAACAAAATCTTATTATAGAGTAGTACCTTTTGATTGTTTGATATTTTTTTTTTTTTTTTTTTTTTTAACAAAATGTTATATATGTCATTTTCAAAATCTTATTATAGAGGTATACCTTTTTATTGTTTGAAATTAGATCCCCAAGTTAAACCTGAATGACAATATGAAGATTGATCAAATTTAATATGAGTTTCAGCTATAATTTTTGTCATGCACATACGTATTCTATCTGATATGCAATCCTTTTTTCATGCTGCCAGTTATGCTGGCTATGATTGGAGGTTTAGCACCTTATTATGTTCCTTATAGTGCTGTTATTATACTTCCTCATTCAGCATGGAGTCTTTTTAAGGTATTGCTAGGTCAGTTACATTTACAGATCTATATTTCCAAATTCTCTATATGAAATTTAGTATTTCTCTGTGTATTGATATCTGTAGTAGTTGAAATCTTATTAGGACCAGAATAAGTGACATTTTATACTATCAAATGGCAATGAGACTTAAACTCCATTTGTCTTGAATATTCCTAATTGAATTCGTTCGTGCCTTGTTTGTTTGATCCTCTAAATGTAAGAAGTCTCAAACATTACCAGATTATTTCTAGATAGCGTGACTTTTATGAGCATGTATTTTGGCGGTGCTATTGTATTTTTAACGTTAACATGTTGAACTGTGATGAGTTCTGCATATCCTGAATTCAAACAAGTACCAGTGACACAAGCATCTGTAAGAGCACAGTACATTTTAGTCCCTTGGAAGTGAAGGACCAAATTTGATACTGTGATTTTGCTCATCTAATATAACTTCTACAAAAGTGTGGATTTTTTTTCTTTTATTTTTTGCTCAATATTTTAAGCAATCTTAATCACCCTGCCTAGATCTTACAAACTTGAGTGTCACCGGAATGAATGTCAAGTAGGTTGAATGTTGTGGGTGTTCATTTTTTAGTGTAAATTTGTTTTTTACATTCCTTTAGATCTTTTTTTCCAGTGTTCGATATTTTTCATATCCAATGATATCCATTTTTCAACAATTTCAATGCCTAATTTTATTTCCACTTGTTCATTATTTCAACTTTTTCTTTGAGTTTCTTTTCTGTTTATGTGCTCAACCAGATTTATGTGCATTCAGGATGAATTTGGGCAGGAAGAACTTTCGGGACCTCAAAGATGAAAAGAAATGGCCACATGATAAGTTTGAAGAGATGATGCGGAAGGACTCGGAAAATAAAAAGTTTAATGCCTACGCCAAAGTTCCGTCTATTTCCTGAATACTGTTTCTGATTTCTGAACTTTTGATATGGTGGTGGGAAGAAATATTAGATTGCTGCATCTCTTATGGCTTAAATGTAAAGTTATTTGTGGAGATATTAGTATGCACATTCTCTGAATATATTTTCAGGTACAGAATTTTTCTGATAGCCATCATCAAGGATACTATAACAATAAAAGCAGAGGTCGTGATGTTAAAGCCAACCGATTTATACCCAATGATAACAATAACAATCAAGGCCCTTCATCAAGAATTGTGCGAGGGGGAGGGCATGTGAAATATAAGCCTCTTAACAGCAGCAATGATGTAGATCCACCTGGAAATATGGAGTAAGTTGCAATTATGAGACATTTCCTGTTTACATTGCCTTTTCATAATTGCCCGTTAGATTTATATTTATTTTCCTCAAAATTTTCAGATTGAGGAAGTCCCCTGGTATAAAATCAAATGCTGATTCAGCAAGAACGTGGTCAGACACTTCACAGGCAGACTCTGATTCACTTGCTTCTAAGAAGAAGCATTATCATGCAACTTCTTCCAAACCCGACATCTCTGTGGCAAATAAAAGGAATGTACAGCCTAGTCTTCCAGGTTATGATGCATGTATACCACATTACAAAGCATATATGCAGGGGAACAATGTAGATGATTATTTTGAGAGGAACAGGCTTTCTGCTCAGGAGTCCATATTTCCAGTTGTTGAACATCATCATACTGTTCTGCCTTTGCAGTCTTCAGTAACCACATATCCTGATTCTTCCCAGCTGAGGAGTCAGGCAAGGGATTGTCCTCTTCACCCACTGATGATCCATCATTCACCTACATCTTCTAATGCAGCTGATAGGCATAACCATGTTGTTCAACAAACACCTCTTGGAAGCAGATGTTGCTGTCCTTTACAAGCTTACACTCAGCAGTTGACCTCACATTCAGGTATTGAATCTCAGGGTTCATTTAAAGCTCCAATACCAATTGGATTAGATCTTGGACAGGTGAAATCTCTTGCTAGATGAAGTAAATCAGAAATTGGCATTGCTCAAGGTTGGCTAAGAGGTGGCCAATGTGGCGAAACTTGTGTCCATCAGAACTTTACCACAATTGCACCATTTTTGCCTTGTATATCTACTTCTTTTGCCTTGTTCTGTTTTGAATAGAACCCTAAACTTTATGCTTGTGCTATCAGCCACAATGATTGCAATTATTGTGCGTTCTTCTTAATTTGTGATATATTAATTCTTAATTTTCTATGGTAATTAAAATGTAGGTCTCCTTGCTTATTTTAGTGATATTGAGTTGTGGTTTACATAATAGTTAACACTAATCTTCATTCACCTTTTTTATTTTGAAATGTTTGGATGTGCAGCTATGCAGTTTGGAAACCAGCATCTTGGTCATCTTAGTGATCATGTCGATGACAGGGCTGTTACTAGATATATGATTCAACCCCAAGTTGGTCTTGGAAATTCTGAGATGACTCGGTATGCTATCTTATTATTAAATCAAAGTATTTTTATGTAGTTTCTTTCCTCCCTTAAAGTTGCATTGCTACCCCTTGTATGGTCACTAAGTTTAGCATCTCAATCAAATGTAGGCCCTTGCCTAAGCTATCTTAACAAAGACAATTGGAGTAAGACTAACAATAGAATGATTTATCAGGAAATAATGTCTTGGGCTATTGGGTCATGTCCTTGCTAATAAAAGGAAGATTTCCTTGGGATTTTTTTTTTCAGATTTAAAGTCTTAGCTCCCCTACCATTGAATCAAATTCATGTTTGTCCTGACTAGAAGTAAAAATATACTAGAATCACCGTTTGAGATGGTCCTTTTGCAAGATATCCAGACTGTGAGTATTCTTCACTGTAAGTGCTTGTTATTTGCTGCCGCTGAAAGTACTTGTTAATTTCGGTGGATTGGCATTCTGATATTAACATAATAAGGAAAATTCTCTTGTAGCTCTTTGACACAGAAACATTGCACTCCCAAAGTCCAAAAAAAGGAGTGTTTAAATTGACCCATAGGAATATCTTGAACACTGGTCTTAATGTTCATGCAAGGAAAAATAGGTGAGAATAAAATAAGTCGACCATTAATTAAATTTTGGAATGGAAACAGGTATTAGAAAGGAGTTATGGCCTGCCTATCTAAAAAATCATTCTTGCTGTGAAGTTAAAGGTTATTGTTGAGGTTTGAGAACTTGAAATAAACATAATATGGTTCAATACGTTGGATACACTAGAAAATAGTGCTTCCTTCCTTGACATTCATACAGGACCCTCCTTCCATATTTATAGATGTATCCCTCATGAATATGAACGGAAGGTGCAAACCAGTGTATCTGAGAATTTAGAATTTGTTAAAAGGAAAAATTGCCCAGGTTTAGTTCTAATTGGATATTTATTCGTTTATTCTTTGACAAATCACTAGCAGACTTGTACTCCTATAGCAATTTTAGATTTATCTCGTTACCTTACACGAATGAATGAGCAAGAAAAATTCTGCTTTCTCATTTTAGTCTGAAGAAGCATGTGGAGTGGATCTGAAATATGAAAGATGGCCATGGAACTGTCGTTTAAAAATCAATGTTTTTGTTGTTTGTCAAACACAAAAATCTTTTAGATATCCTTGGAAATAAGTGTCCTGGTTTCTCTGCATTGGCTATTTTATGCGAATTTGTAATAGAACTGCACTTGTTACTTCTTTTGCGTTGTGTGCTGTTAACAACAGCATGTTTTTAGTCCTGTAACATAATTGCATGATTTATTCTCCTTTGTTGGGAAATGCAAATGATATTTAAATATTTTCATCTTTGATCATTCCAAGGGCTAGCAATGGTAGAATTGGTGTGTTCCAGTCGTTGAAACTTCTCTGCAAAACATCCTTTCCCGACCCTTGCAAAGCCTTGTGCATTGGGAACACCCTTTCACTATTGAGATTTTCTTAATTGTCTACCTTGATTTCAGTAGATAATCCTTGTCTCTGCTCTTGCCTTCCTCTCCCCTGTAATTCCATTTTAAGTGCCATTCACTCTCTTGCTAAACTACGAAATGCTTAATGAACCATATTTAACTGCTTGATTATATTTGAAATAAAAACAGTTGTTGGCTTTCTTCTGCAGTGCTGGAGCCAGTGCAAGCAGACTCAGCCAGGGAAACAAATCTCAAGATGAAACTGGTTAGTATTATGATATTTTTGTTTCGCTGCGAAACTAGGGATCTCGAATAAACTGGTTTTTTGCTATTTATGATAATGGAAGTTTTCAAATGCTGCCTGCTATTTATGATAATAGAAGTTCTCAAATGCAGAAGTTCTGGATGATACTGATGGGTCGCAAAAGATGAAGCCTCAGAGGTAAGTCAACCCATCTGCCTGTGTCTGCAGACGCACGTTCTGCGCCAGTGTCTCAAGTCTTTTTCTAATATGCAGATACTCAAAGATGAATTTTAAAAAGTGAATGGATGATGTCATTTGTTAACAAACAGGTTGGTAATTCATGCTTCTGACATTTGTAGTTTTGCATTGTTCTTCTACTGGAAATTCACTTAATTATCTACTTTCTGATGTCTTCCTTACTCTTTGTACAGACTAAAAACAATTTTTTCACCATGAATAATGTCTTTTCTAATTATTGAATTATTTTGTTAATGATGCTTTACATGAACTTTTTTGTTAAACTACAGTATGGGCAAATAACGTTTCTTCATTCAGCCCCATTCGTTAGCTAATTTTTCTGTTGTTTCGTTAATGCAGGGATGCATCACTACCTACAACTCATGTCGCAGTTTTAAAATGGTGTGGGCAGAGCGATATAGTAAGTGATTTTAGAAAAACATTTTTGAGCTTCGCTAGTGGCACTAGCAGTTGCTAGAAGCAAATATACTCAATAATAGGGGGTGTAAATCCTGAACCCTGTGATGAAAAAAAAATTGTACACACACATACTTAACTGATCAGTAAGTGTCAATTTCTGTGACAAGTTTTGAACTTGCTGCTTTTCTGCAAATTGTCGGTGGCCCAACCCTTAAGAATGGTTCTCGCAATTGCATAATAACATAACATACAGGAAGCATTGTCATTTCTTTACCTCTGAGGCTCTGACGATGCAGAGGTTCATGCATGGTAACCCCATTTTTTCCCCCCGAAATTGCTTGCAGGCTTGGTTTTTGTCAGTTCAGAAATATTAGGAAAATCTTGTTAAATGAACGAACAACTCAGAAAATTATTTGACTGTAATGTCATCACCATCGGAGAATTATAAATAAAAATATAGCCAGTATCTATTTATTATGGAATTAAGTAACCTCTCTCATCCATAAGTGGCGCCCCATTTTTTGATATGATAATTTTGTTTTCCCCCCAACAAACAGTGGCATTGGGATTTCCCCCCTTCTTAGATGAATAGTGTGACTGACATTACCGCAAAATTTTAAAAAATAAAAATAAAACCGCGATTAAAAAAAAAAAGTTTAAAGAAAGTTAAAAATTAAAAATTGAGATAGGCAATGAAAATCGGTTTAATAACCGTTTTTAATTTTGCCTGTTATTTTTATTGAAGAGATGAAAAACTAACCCTTTATTATAATGCTAGAAATTAATTGAAGAATCTTATAAATATTTGAATAAAAGAAAAATGATGGATTAACCATTAAATACAAAGTTAAAAAAATTAGAAAGTGTTTCTTATGTTTACTGTACAAAGGAATACTTTTTTTTTTAAAATTTTAAAGTTAATACTTTACATATATTGTCCATAAATCTTTAAGTTTTTGACAATTGTTAGAGTATTTAGTTAAATATTAGAGCTTCCTCTTGCTCTACACAAGCAAAAAATTTAGTAGTACATGAAATAGTATCATTCTTGTTTAATGCTAATATGAATATGTTTCTCCCTCCTGTCTATTTTATCTCTCATTTAAAATTTTTGTGTTTGCTATATATAGCATAAAACAAAGAGACAGGTCACATTATTATTTCATCCATTCCTATCCATTTAATTTCCTTCTCTGGCTGCATGCAATGACTTCAAATCTTCTTTTTTTTTAAAAAAAAAATATTGTTTACATTTTCTTTAATCAATCAAAGCGAATTCTAAGCAAGTAGAGAGAATTTTGGAATGTCATAGTGGAAACTAAAGCACAAAAAGATTAGGAGGTGGTGCTACCACAACAGTAGTTGAAATACATATGATGTGTGCATAGCCAATCGTTATAGCTTATAGGATTGTGATTGTTGCCTTTATTAAATTCCTTTCTCCCACTGACTATAGTTCCTTTGTAGACTGGAAAATGACCAATTTTTTTTAATCAATGAGGAGGAAAGTGGCCTTTGGCATACTAGACAAATAGATTTTGATTCACTATCATATTTGTAAATTCATGAGTTCTAAAAATAATTTTAATATTATTAATAATTAATGGTTAATCACACTTAAATTGAATAGCAACTCTTGTAAAATAAAAAAAAGTTCAATTTGTTAAAAATATTTATAAAAAGAGGCAATCATAAATTATAAAACATATTAATTTCATATTCATAAAGGTCTTAAAGACTTTGTCAATATTTAAATTATAGTCGAAGTTTTATTGAAAATAGAAAGTCATTTTAAATTTGGACCATGTCAATTGGAGTCAAATTTATAAAAAAAAGAAAATTACTCTTTCAATTTTCAGCTTTTGAAAAAAATATTATTAACAAATATCCTTTTAATCAATCTGCAGCTGAAAAAGAAAATAACTATTATAACTCAAAGATCCGAAAAAGTACTACAAAACTCTCTCCAATATTAAAAAAAAAAAAAAATTAAAACAAAAATCAATGGTTGATATATATTCATGAGTCAAATTACAAAAGAATTTCTATATGTATAACTTTTGATATGAATGATCTGTATTTACTATTTAATTAAATTAAAGAGATGAATTTAATCTGAGATATGAAAAATTAGCTCACATGACAATTATCAATATATAATGCTACAAGATGGTGCAGTACAGTTGGTGAAAGCAGCCATCGCAAACCACAATCTGAGACAGACTCATCCAAAAACATAGAAAACATGCTTTCTCAATTTTCGCTGGATTTTTCATGCTCTACTAAGATGCTTCCCACATCCACTCATGAAATTCTTATAATCCAATTCCATTATATTATAATTTATTTCACTCTTAAAAAAAATATTATGATTTATTTCAAATTAAGGTCATGTGATCAAAAGTGTATATATATATATATATATATGAAGAAAAAATTTACGAAGAAAAATGAATTTAAATACCATATTATACATTTGGTACTAATAGATCGTAAGAAAGTGGTTGTATGGATATATTATACATTGGACTAATAGATCGTAAGAAAGTGGTTGTAATGGAATATAGGTAAGTACTATATATTATATATATATAATACTAATATATATATCAGGAATTTTTTCTTTTTTGAATACTGTTTTTAATGTGTGTGTATATACATGTATTGTGAACTTATTATTATTATTATTAGCTTGTCTCCTTTCTGATTTTCCATTAAAAAGAAGCATCATCATCACATGGACCAACCTGTTGAGAAAAATAGAGCTATTAATTTTAAAAAAAAAAATTATGTATTCCAATAATTCAATACTCTACTACTGCTTCTGAGCTCATGGGCTCCAATAATTCATTGCCTGTTTGTCTCGTTTCTACTCTTTTATTGGAGGCAAAGACAGTTGTCAGCACTTTCAATTCTAAACAGTTTTTTTAATTACATAATATCGGTCTACTACTGCTTTCATTTAATAATTAATTAATATGCATAAGCATAGCTTATCTGAAAAGGCCAGTCTACATTCTTATTCTACTCTCTCGTAACGGCCCTGCAATATACCTGCATTTCTATCTGTCTAGAAGGTAATTTGTAAAAAATAAAAAAATAATAAAAATAGAGATTCAAATTTTATTAATTACAATAATCTCCTCTTTCAATTTTGTTTTATATTAACTTTCCCATTCATTGGCAAAATTATATGAAAATTCTTTTTTTTTTTTTTTTTTTTTTTTTTTTTTTTTTTTTTAGAAATTCTTTTTTTTTTTTTTTTTTTTTTTTTTTTTTTTTTTTTTTTTTATACCAAAAGCATCCAAACTTGTTTGGTGAGTAAGGGTTAATGTTTTTTTTTTTTTTTTTTTTTTTTTTTTTTTTTTTTTTTATAAAAAAGCACCAACTTTGTTTGGTAGTAGGTAATGTTCTGTTGTTAATTGATTAAATATTTATTTTGACCTAATATGCTTATGGGCAAGCAAAATGAAGATGCTTATCTAGACACATATAATTTATAAATTTTTTTACTACCGTCATTACATATGTAATGAAGTTTGATATTGCAACGATTCCAATTGGAGGACGGTGACGCTTGTCGTTTATGTTCAATTTTTTTTTATTTAAATTTATATTTTGAATTAAGAATGAAGCAAACCATACAATTAAATGGATGAACTATAAAATTAGATTTAGACTTATGATTAAGTCTAATCATTATTAAAGTAACTAAACAATATTAATAGTTAACAGATAGTTAGATCAGCAAATTGTACTATGCTTTCAGATAAATTAAGTCAAAGAGTTTGAAATCCGAAGTTGTTTATGTTGAGAGATGCTTTAACTAAATATAAAGTGTTACATGTATTTATTTATTCTTAGATATTTTTATATTATTGATTAATAATTTTTTTTCTTAAACTAATCATTTTGATGATTCAACACTTATATATTATTTATATATATTTTTTTAATTCCAAACTAATATGAGATATTCTAATTAACTTTCTTAATTTTCTTATTTCTTTTCACCACTTGTGCATATGAAATGAAATAATGTATCGTTGCTTTTAGCACATGTTGTGTTTCTTTCACTACCGGGAAGGTCACATGACGAAAACTCCACTCTTCACTTTTAGTTATTCAATCCATCAAAAGATCCATTGCAAATTTAATTACGTTCTCACATGAACAAATCCCTTCTCTTCAACCCTTTTCAGAAAATTTAGAATGATACCTATCTTTTCTTGTTCTTCACATGACAAAATCTAGTTGGAGTTATTAATACTTAGGTTTGTAGATCCATTTTTTGGTCATTGAGTACCTTTTCTTCTTCATATCTTTCTTTTCTTCCTTTCTCATATCAGCTTTTGGCTTTCCCAATAAAATTAATTTTGACCAAGATTGGTTCTTTTTTCTTCACATTATATTCTCTGTTAGATTTGTTCTTATATTTGGAAAGAGATGGGTAAGCTAAGGTTTGGCAAAGTATTGGACTGCCTTTGTCTGAATTCATCCAATTCTTGTTTCTGTATCAGTTCCTTTGACAGTTTTGATACTGGGTTTGAGAAAAAACCTTTGATAGAAAATGATAACAAATCCCAAGTTCTCAGATTGAAAGATGTTGTTTCTGGTAACCAAACTTTGGCCTTTCAATTGAAGCCTAAGGTATGCTTTCTCTCTCTCTCAAAAACTTTTTTCTTTCTTGATATAGAAAATGGTTAATTTTCAAGATTTCAACCTCTCATTTTCTACGTTATGAATTGTATATTTATTGAACTTTCGATATATATGTGTGTCTGTATGTTATATACGTATGTTTCTTTAGTTAATTAGAGTTTGAAATTGCAAATTTATAGTGCTAAGAGATTATTTTAAGTATTGAAAGTTTATTTCATTAATAACCTTTTCGAATGCTTCTTGTAGATGGTGGTGCTGAGGGTGTCTATGCACTGCCATGGCTGTGCAAGGAAGGTTGAGAAGCATGTTTCAAAGTTGGAAGGTACATGAAATTATATTATATTAATATATAATTTTACTTCAATTATTAGTTATTAAAATCATTATATCATATTATATTTAACCTTCTTCTCTGACAATAAAAATAATTAAACAGGAGTGACTTCTTACAAAATAGATCTGGAAAGCAAAATGGTAGTTCTTATTGGAGACGTAATTCCTTTTGAAGTGCTAGAGAGCGTCTCCAAGGTCAAATATGCTGAGCTTTGGAGTTCTCAAATTCAGCAATTATGATTCATCAAAATACATACTGCATTATATATATATATATATATATAATAATATAGGTTCTTCAAATTCAGCAATTAAATGATTCATCAAAAAATACATAACGTGCAATTATTATATATATATATATTTATAATAATAATTAAATTTTCGTCCTCAACTTATAATTGTATATAGCTTTTTTATTTGATTAATTATGCCAAGTTTCGTAATCTGTTTACTATATATTAATATTATTGTCTGTGTAATGTTTTTGGCAGCCAAGATTTAAGTTTGTTGGCGCGGGCTAGCCACCCTACCAGAAATAGTAATTGTGAATACTTACTTCCATTTTAATGTATTTCTCTGGGTTTCCATTTCCCAAAATGGAAAATATATATAATGGGTGCATATATATAATAATATATTATCTTTCTCCTCACTTATTAATTGTATAAGCTTTTTATTTGTAATATGCCAAGTTTCTAAATCTGTTACTATATATTATATTATTGTCTGGTGTAATTTTTTGGCACCAGATTCTAAGTTTGTTGCTGGCTAGCCACCCTACCAGAATAGTATATTGTGATACTTACTTCCATTTTATGTATTTTCTCTGGGTTTCCATTTCCCAAAATGGAAAATATATATTAATGGGTGCAATGCTCAAGGCTATTGCTATATTTTTCTTGACTTAAATCAGCCATAGTACTTGATTTGTTTATGCTTAGTACAAAGCTGAAATTTAAAAAAAAAAAAAAAGTTTGAGAAAAAGAAATTTCCATGTGTATTCTTATATATATGTGTTGTCTATTATTATTATGACAGTATCAATTATCATTCCATAAACAACCATTCACAAGTCAGAGCATGGTTGGGTTGCTTAAATCCTTTTCTTTAAAATAAAATTGAAGAAGAACTTAAATTGGAATATATTTTTCAGGTCTAGAGATATATCAGTATCAATAGTAGGGCAAACTGTTAATTATATATTCAAGTTTTAAAAGTTAAACTTGAGCGCGAGGTTCCTTACTGTTATCAAAGGAAAATTACGATTTTATCCTTATAAAATATTCAAATTAATTTGCATATTTTTGTATTGTAGAAAATACATTATATATCTCTAAATTTTGGTTCCCTTTGACCATCTTATCCTTCCATCCAATTTTTCCACTTTTCTATGTTAAATCAATGCAAAAAGGTTAGTCAAAACGAGAGATAAAAAACAAAATTATGATTTTATCCACGTAAATATCAAAATTAACTCACATATTCTTGTATTTTGAAAAAATTAATTGCTGGAGTGGCGTTGCAACTAGGGATGGTAATTTAACCCGACCCGGCCCGATTTTGATAGTGTCTAAACGGGATTGGAACATATTTGGATAGTAATTTCAATATATGTCATATTGGGGTTTAGGAGTTGGGTACCCGTTACCCGTTTTGTTTGAAGGAAAGCATCCTCCTAGGTACTTTTGCCTTTTCCTTAAGACGGAAGGATAGGATATTCCAACGAAAGCGAAATTTATGGATATACATGTATTTTCCAAAATAGAAGGATATGCAAATTAATTTTAATACTTTATAGGGACAAAATCATAATTTTTCTATTATTAAATTAACTTACAAACCAATTTACATATCCCATTTCAAAATCAAGTTGGATTTATTTATTAAACGAGCTTAAGGAGCAGGTTTAAGCTCGTTTTTAGTTTAGTTTGAACCAGTTTTTGTTGAGGAAAAAGAAAAAAAAAAAGAAAAAAGAAAAACTTTATGATAATGTCAGATGAAACTTTCCATTTTGATATAAAACATATGGGCTTTTCTCAAAAAAACATAAGGGCTTAATAAGCCCATTTAAAATTTATGATTTTACATTGCGGCCCAAATAAAATTTCAGGGAAAAAGATCTAGATATTGGAAATCCTATGGATGTTTTTGCGCATGGTTTTCCACGTCCACGTGTTCAAGTATCATCTCTTTTCATCTTCTTCTTGTAGACTACAGATAACGGCAACAGACTTTAGTTAAGTCTTTCAAAATCCAGGACCCAGACTTATCGCAGTAAAAAACGACACCGCAATGACGAAACTTTTCTCGCTTTTCTCTCTCTTCCTTCTGATAGCTGTCTCTTCTCCACGTACAACCGCCGTAAACCCGAATCCAATTCCACCGTCCGCCGCCCATGTTGAGCTTACAAACTACGGCTTTCCAATCGGCCTTCTCCCTGCCTCCGTCCGTAACTACACTCTGAACCCGATATCCGGTCAGTTCTTCGTGGATTTCGGTGGCTCGTGTAAAATCACCCTACCTCCTGACAACTACTTGGCTACGTATTCGAAGACGGTGTCCGGCAAGATTGTTCAGGGTCGGATCGCGGAGCTGGATGGGATTCGAGTTCGGGCTTTCTTTAAGTGGTGGTCCATAACGGGAATTAGGTCTAGTGGGGAGGATTTGGTGTTTGAAGTAGGGATGGTTACCGCTAAATATCCATCGAAGAACTTCGACGAGAGCCCTGACTGTGAAGGGAAGCACTCTTCTTCATGAAAGGTTAGGCTTTTATCAAAATTTGAATCCTCCCAATTTACTGTTGCATTGAAAGCGATGCGAATTGATCCATTTCTTAATTAAAAGAAAAAGGAACTATTGATTGACCGATTTATTAAATGATTCTATTTTATTTTAATTATTATGCGTAAGCTGTTTTTAATTTTTAATTTGTAATTATTGGATGTGGCAATTGTTTAATTTTTAATTTGTCTATTTAAGCTGTTAGCACTTCCAAAGAGTAGTTAAAAGAAAATACAATTCTTACTCTGCTGATGCTTTTCCATTACTTTTGTCACGCCGACTTTAACAATGAGAGGAATTGTCCGCCTTAGATCAAGCCAAATTCCCGTACAAGATTGGCAAAACCCGCACGGTGGTTTTGTCCCCGCAGGTGAAATGAGAAACTTGCCACCACCCTATCCTAGTATTTCTGTTAAGCGAGCACGCTTAACCCGGGGTTCTTCCAACTCTCCGGCCATTCCACAAAAGCGCCTCTAATTATTAGTTTTTCCTTTTCTGATTCGATTCATTCCTGCATTCCACTGCCCTAGCTAGCCTGCCATCCTAGAAGCTAGCCAGGAGCTTCGCTCTACCCGCCCTCTTAGGATCGCGGGTCGGGATGTCGCAACTTTGGGTGCTTTGGTTCCTTTTATCGTTGTTGCTCTTTAAAAACCTTCAATCTGCTTGCCTATCTTCAGAGTTATCAGTTGGGTTTATTTGTATCTAACAGAAAATTTACCAGAATCTTGCAACGTAGACTCAATGCAAGTAGGAGATTTGCATGATTAAGACAGGGAAACTAAAATTTACATAAAAGTATATCTTTATAAACTTTAGACACTACATTTTACCGTATCAGTCTTGTCTATGAATTTACATAATCCTTAGAAAGTATGAATGCTCGAAATTGAAGTTTAATTAAGGTATGATGAAGTTCAATATGTAATTGAAGGTTGGTAATTTTATTCGAGTTGGATATCTACTTACCAAGTTTTGGGGAAAATGTTACGTTGTTGCCCCATTCTTTTCTGTATTGATTGTTGAAACTTAGTTCAACTTCCGGCTGAAATTTTATCTTTTAAAGTTTGATAGCTTTTGGTGAAGCCTTAACCAGGGGAGCTATAGTACTGATCTCAATCTTGATTGGTTGATGTGTGACTATTCCATCCAAGCCTCTGCTTAAGAAACCTTCTTCTTCTTCTTCAATATACAATTTTTGGAAACTGAAATTGGATAATTAACTCAGAAGGTTTGCAATATGTGCAACTTTAAGAACTTGTTTGTTTCAGCTTGGATTTGGAATGAGAATGGAAATAATCCTAGTCCAAGAATTTTCTTAAATAACCTAACATTGTAAGAATTTTTCTATGATACCATCTTGATCTATGCATTGCCTTTGTTTTAATTTTTCATTGTTTGGAGTTAAAATATGATTAGGAATAAGTATCATAAATGAGTACTGAAGGTAGATATGAAGTGCATGTTTTTACATGAATAATTACATGTTTGATTGCTTTTGAATATAAGATATGAAAATACAAGCTGAGCTGATTTCCTTTTTCTTCGCAGATTCTATTTGATGCATCTGTCATTGTATTTCTCGTTGTTCGCTTCTATTCTCATGCGATATGTCATTAGGCAGATTCAATAAGTATAACGCAGTTGTATTATGTAAGATTATGAGGATCAGAAGCTTGATATTTTCCTTTGCTTTTGTTTGTATAGATTCAACAAATTATCCAATGTAATGTTTGATGGTTAGCTTGTAACGTTTTCTTAGCTTTGTGTCCTTTTTAGTATAAGGTTAATTAGGTCTTGTTACATTGACTAAACGGCCAACTGGGGTCATTTAGGACGAAAGGACTCGATCATATGATAGGAAATAAAAGTAAGAGAATACAAAATGTATTTCTTATTTTTCCCTTTCTTTTATTGTTATTATTTGAGTTGACATTTGGATATCCTAACTTCCTAAGGAATGATTTTTCTTATTCTTCAATTCTAACCCGCAATTATTTTTTAATATTGAGGGAGGGATTCTAATATGAGCTTATTATTAGGTTATATATGTATCTACCATTAGGTTATATTTTGGTGTGCTTTAACCTGTTATTATTAATAAAATCATATGTAATTGTTATAATCATCAGATTATATATATATCTTCATATTTTATATATATAATTTTTCTTATTGTGCATCATGACACCTACTAAAACGAGAAAAATTTTAAATGCCAAGCCCGTTGAGCTAAACCTAGTCTGTTCGCATCACGTCAAGTCTAGAAGTAGGAAGCACTATCCGCGGAAAAACCTATTTACAAGTATCAAATACTCGTATCTTTTTTAAAAGACCCGAGTCATTTCAGATCAATTATTTGGAATTCTGTTGGTATGTGGTTTGAATTTCTCAGAACCAATTTTCACCCTTGTCTGCGAGGCAAATCGCCTGCTCTTTATCAACAAAAACTTTAAAAAAAAAAAAAATGAAAATATAAACAAAAACGTATTGGGAGCCTACAAAATCCAAATGCATTCTACAGGCTTACAGAAGCAACGGAGGTTGTGAATAATCCTTTTCTTTCCAAGGCGGCAATGATGAAAGCCAGCTCTAGAGTTTGTGAAGGATCGAGTAGTGGTTGATTATCAGAATTTTTGCTATTTACTGTTGAATTTAAGAATGCATTTAGCACTGCTAGTGGTTGATTATCATAAAAAAATGTCTTTTAAATTTTTTTTTTCTATTTTCTCAATAAAAAAATATTCTTATTTTTATTGTACTAATCACAGTCGTTAAATTTACGGCTGACGGAGGATAGATAAATCTTTCCTCTGTTGAAATCAAATCCAAGGAGAGCAAAGCTACTTGTTGAGCGAACCCTGGTCCAGTATTTACTGTAAAAAGGGATGATCTTGGGTTGTCAGGCATGTGCATTGATTGCCCATATAATAAAATTGTGAATGATAGTAGATGAAGCTGATAAATGCCCTCTATAATATAATTCTGCTGCGCACAAAACACGAGGACTATGAACTCATGGTCTCTTTTCAGTTCCCTGAGCAGCTGGTTTGGTTTGGTGAAGGCTGCTGAATGCTTAACTATTTTTAAAATCTCATTGCTGGTTTTAGAACTCAAGTCCTCTGTTAAGTTGGAATTTTCTTTTCAGACTTTATGCACGGAGAACCTACCTCTTAAGAGTGACCCATTATTCCACGTGGGTTTTTTAAATTTATAATTTTTTCAAAATCGAGCAAATAATGGCACCAGTCACAATTGATTAAATAAGAAAAAGTAAAGTAACTGGCTAACTGCATTCTACCGACTACAACGGAAATTTGAAAAAGTAACAATTTTCAAGTTGCACTTTGAATTGTTTATGATGTATAATTTATGAAAAATTGATTTTTTATATCGATTTTTATATTTATAAGAATTTTAATAATAAAAGGACTTCCCCTCGGTTCATTTATACAACTTATAGTTTATGCCTACTCAACAGCTAATATTTTGGACTCTTTTCGTATTAACAGCTAGCTTATCTGAATATTATTTTGTTTATATTTCATTAAGCTCGTAAAACTAACTATTAATAAAATTTTCGAATTAATATTTCTTATGATTTATTTTTTTATAATTATTTAAAAATAATAGTTTTTATTTTTAAAAATTTAATTAGTTTTTTTATTTATATAAATACATTAAAATGAAAAATAATATATCCATTTTAAAATGAAAAATATATTTTTTTAAACACCCAGTATCCGGCACAGTCGACTAATCTAGATTCGGATTTTGTAAAAGTCCATTATGGGGCGACTCTCCCAATCCAGTCTTAAAATATAAACATTATTCGTGATGTATAAAAGAGTAATTATATCTTTAATAGTCATTTTACATTTTAACAACAACTCCGGCAAGGTCCCAAGAGGCAGAAACATCTCCTCTACGGGCGGATCGTAGAATCGTAGTCCGATTTTCGAATGGCACGCTCTAAGACCTAGTTCTCATTGTTGGTATATGTTCCAAAATTTAAATTATTGGTAGATTAAGCTAAAATCAAAGAAATAGTTAATTAAAGGACTTGAAATGTTGGATTGGTGGTGTGGTAAAATGATTATACAATTAGCTTAGCCACTTAATTCTTTGCATGTGAAAACACATATATGAGACTAGAATAGTTAATTGAATACTATTCCTGTTAGGAAACTTCAAAAGATAGAGTTGTTTAATTCTGAAAATTAAAAATATAAGTCATTTTGAATATTTTAACTTTTAAGTTGGTTAGTTGGATATTGAAGTAGATATAATTAAATAACAATAACTTAAAATATTTGAATAGCAGAAAGCGTGACCGTAAAAAGACTTAGTCAATTATTTAGATAACTGCTAATTTAATTTAACTAGGATTGATTACTTGGTATAGATGAAAAGATAGATAACTATACTTGTAGACAACATCACTGGTGAATTTGAATTGGAGTAAAAACTTTAGCAAATGATGGAATGCAAACGGTGAACATTGAATTACAAAGATGGCAGTTGGGGTATGATTGATGAATATGATTATGGCGGATGAGAATTTAGTTTGATTGATTGCGTGATGAATGAGTTTTGAGAATTGTGGTTTAGTCAAATTTTACGGGAGGTTATGCCGTAATTTCGATAGAATCTAGGTTAGTTATAATTAATAATTAAGTTAATAGATCTATGTGTATGTGTGTGTTGAAATGAAGTTCTTTATTTACTTTATTATTATTTTATTATTTATTTATTTTCCAAGGATCAATTATTATATTATATTGTTAATTACTACTCTGCTAAATGCTATTACACCTTTAACTACGATTTGATTAGCTTGGTTATAGTGGATGATGAAAAGACTAGTAACTATAGTCTTGTAGACACATCAAACTGGTGAATTTGAATTGGAGTAGAAAACTTTAGCAAAATGATGGGGGGAGATGAGTGGGAGCAAAACGGTGAAGTTCGATTTGAATTACAAAGAATGGCCGAAGTTCGTGGGGTGTAGTGAGATTGATGAATATGGATTGATGGGCAGGAAGAGAATGTAGTTTTTGGATTGATTGCGTAGTGATGTATGATGAGGTGTTGTTGAGGAAAGTTGTGGTGTAGGTCGAAAATTTTAGGGGAGTTATGCCGGTAATTTTCAGAATAGAAGTCTAGGTTAAGTTGTATAAATTAATAAGTGAAGTCTATAATAGATTCTAATGTTGTATGTTGTGTGTTGAAATGAAGTCCGTTTCATTTACTGATTATTATTGAATTAGTAGTTATTGTTTAGAGTGTTAATTTTCCAGGATCAAATTATTATAAGACCTGATTATTGTTTAATTAGCAGGTACTGACTTTTATTTAATTGTAATTGAAATTGAATGTTTAATTGTGCACATGTGCATCACGATATGCATATAAAGTTGGTTTTGGAATGTTGCCGTTAGAGAAGAGATATTTGATTGATTGTGTTGGTGGAGCAGTTTGTTATGCTTTGGGTCTGTGTGAGAGTTGAAAATTGAATATGGGTCCACCAATGGATTTGTGAGGACTGGTCCTGGGAGAAATAGAGATGGAAAACATGGAAATTTAGCGCGGCGGCCAAAGTAGAGAGGCTGAGTCCCTGCAGCCTCACGCGTGTGTCACCTGGAGTGGAGAATGAATGGATGATATAACGAAGAACCCACCAAGCGCCTCCTGTGTTGGTACAGTGAGGAAAGAGAAAAGGAGTGAATGAAAGCACAGTGGGAGGGGCTGGGTCAGAGGTGAAAGATTAAACGCCGGGAATGGAGGCTGAATGTTTAATTGTGCACTTGCATCACGATATTTAATTGTTTGATGTGCCTGCATTTAATTGCAATATTTGATTATTTGTGTTGTGGCATTGTTATGCTTTGTCTGTGTAGAGTTGAAATGAAATGGGTCACCATGGATTTGTGAGGACGGTCCTGGAAATGATGAAAACATGGAATTTAACCGTCGGCCAAGTATAGGGAGTCTGCGCCCCCGTGTGCACCTGATGAAATGATATGGATGATATAGAAAACCACAGGGTGGCCTCCTGTTGGTATGGAAAAGAAAAGAGTGAATGGGAAACAATGAGAGGGCTGGTCAAGTGAAGATTAAACCGGTCGGCCATGTATGGAAGATCGGCTCTCTGGTGCACACGTAATGAGAGCATGAGCCATGTGGAAGGACGGCTCATCGGGGTTTCGGTGACGTCACAGACCAATTTCCACGTGATGTGATTATGTGAAGGTGTAAATATCTGTGAGTGCTATTGTGATGCCATTTGTGTGACTGCTGCGTGATCATATAGCTAGTCGGATGACTAGATTTAATTATTTACACATTTGTGTGAATGCGTGTGGGGTGCAATAATTATTATTCCTTTTAAAACTCACATGTTTTGTTTAACTTTCCAGGAAGTAGACTCTCATAAATCTCACTTAAAGCTCTGTTTCCTTCACTGCAGGGCTAGAAAATAAAATATTTAATTTCAGTAATTAGCGTAATTGTGAGTTTACAAAAAAATCTAATTGTTCTGTATGATATTGAACTCCGCAGTTATAGGATCGTAACTGATAAATTTATGTGGGTATTTAGTTATTTAATTATGTGAAAGTTTGAATCAGTTAGCCCATCCGATAAATATTATGTAATGTAATTGGGCTTCAATTATGAAATATTTAAAATACCGTATTTGAGCCAGATATAATATAATCATAAGATATGCTATATAAAATAATTTGGGCTTACAGTTTCTATGTTGCAATTAGATGTGATTAAATTGAGTGATTGAGGCTTACTACGGGTCTTAGGGCCTTAAGCTTACCTGAGTTCTAGTGCTGGTCTGGCCTTTAAAAATGGGTCGTGACACTACTAATCCAAAACTTTTTATAAATTAAAAAATGACAAAAGAACTTTACACTGACAAATTAAAAACAAT